GGAGGCAAAATGAGCAAGAACGCTCATTTGTACATCATTCTAGAGAGAAATAAATGACCTTTTTAGAAAGTGAACCATGGATGGGGAATTGTTGGCAGTTTTCTCAAAAAATGCTTGAATTCAAGAAGTTTTGGATTTGCGTGGTTTTTTTTAGTTGCGAAATCCACTTGAACATGACGCTGCTTTTTTCGGAATTTATCAAGAACCATTCGATCCACAGAATTCGTTTTGGCATCGTTGGATAGAGAATTGAATGGATCCCCCCCCCCTGGATCCGCCCTTGGTGGAATGATACCAGATTGTTATAAAATTAGTATTTTAAACGAAGATTTACAAACGTATGTTTACTGTTCTTAATTTGTGTCACTTGGTATAAGATTTGATTGTTATACTTATAATGGATACTTACTTGATTATAGTCTCGTTGTTTAATCGCATAGGTATTTTATATATTCATACATTCCGCCATGACGTTAAAATATTAAAGCTTTCTGGGTGAAATTGGCTTATTATCTTTACCAGAAACTAATTATGAAAGTTGAATAGGCGATTGCTTCCAAATAACTTTCCGTAAATATTTGTATCTTCCTATTTAAATCCAGAAAGTTAACAGGTAAAACCAGAAGATATTTAGAAATTATAAATTCCAGAACTCGTAACTGAGAACAGAATTAGAATTTAACAGATTTCAATATGTTCGCCCTTAATATCTCCCTAGCACGAAAAATGCTGAGAACCTGCAGATTTCTAAAAAAATACAGAATGAAACTGTGTCCAGTGCTAATAAGATACGACAATTCGTTTGTGTGGATACAGTTTTTCGGCTCGCGCATCGTCTAACGTCAGACTAATGGAGCGTATTCGCGAGTTCAACTACCGATGGTGTCGCTGCAAAACGTCAAATTACTCGCTGTCCAGTGACAGTAGAGACTTTTATTACTATATTTATTGGAGTTGATTGTTGATGACATATATACCACAAAACAATACTTACACACTTTTCGATCTGTTTCTATTTCTCTAAAATCTTTCAAAAGTTGATTAGCACGAACCAAAACAAATCACAAACACCAATGTCAACAAAACAACTGTCAAATTACTAGTTAACGTGTGGTTATAGTTTTGGCTACCAGGGGGAGTTTGGACTTTTGACCTCGTGAATTAATGGAGCACAAAATTTGACAATGGAAAATGAAGACGTCCGCAAGGTGAGCGTCAAACGCTTACCTTTTCGGTTAAAAACTTACCACTTTTCAAAGTTTAATTATTAAGAATAAAGGGAACAGAAATGTACCGTTAACAGCAGCTTACATATTTAACGAATATCCGTTGTAAAATGACAGTAATGTTTATTTGAGAAAATGGTTCACATTTTTGTTAAATTCCTTCAATAACACAAACATTTCAGCGAACCATTTCAAGTTGTTAAAATTGACTAAATGAGACCAATTATTGAAATACAGATTTATTCGGCACCATCACCCTCCCCTCGCTCATACTTCTCCAACATTGCGTTCACCAATATACATTTTGTCATAAAGCACCTGCAAAATTCAGGATGTTGAACTTCTTCAGGATCCAACATGATTAACTCTATGTTATATCTGCAACAAAACAAAAACATTTCTTAGCTTTTGGTTTCTCTGTTGAGAAAATAGTAACAATACTAATAGTTGACTCTGTCTTAACATGTCCAATGTCTTGAACTTGATTATAAGTAAAAAAATAACACCTAAGACTAGACAATTCCAACCTTCAGTGGCAAAAAGTTAGAATCACAACTAGAGCAAAATATAATTACCTCCGATTACTATCAGTTGATCTCTTAATCGTTAAATCATAACATATCGGACTGCCCACTTCTACATTCATGGAGTTAGGCAGAACAATTAAAGTTTGCTTCCAATGCGTTTCCGGTTCGTCCGGTTCGGTCGATAAACTTACGGGTTCTGTATTACTAGGACCCCTTGGAAATGGAAACGTACATGTAAACCATAAGCATATTCCCTCATAAGTTCCTACTTTGTTTGACACTGCAACATGCCTCAATTTGATTTCATTGAGATCGTCACTAGTCACTTCTCGTAGATCGATCCACGTGGCTACCTTGAATACCAATAGTGCAAACTTTGACGTTGTACGTAAACTCAACATACCTCTGGCTCTGAAATAAGGCATTCAGGGGGAATCTTTTCCGTTAAAGGCTTTTTATATGCTTCTTCCCTTAATAATCTAGAGAACGATTCCATTCTAACACCATGAACGTTCTCCCAGTATTTGTATATTGACGGAATACTGAAACAATGATTACGCAATAAACATCTGTATTTTCTCCGTTGTCCAGAGGGGCAACTACAAAATTATCTTACCTACAAGGAGTCGCATAAATAGTAGCAGCTTCGGGGAATATTAGACCGTTTGGCTTCAAAAATCGGTCTCTAGCTATAATCACTGAATCTAGCATTCCTTCATGTAATAGATAAAATCCCATCCATTCGGAAACTATAATATCTACTTTTCCTGGTATCTGAGCCGAAGTAAGATCTTCGATACGACTATGAATAACCTGTAAATAATATTCATAAACAAATTAAAAAAAAATCGATTCGAACTGAAAATCGACTGAAACATGACGCTGCTTTTTTCGAAGCTTTCCAAAGTTTTCGTTTTGGCATGGTTGAATAGAGAATTGAAAATTCGATTAAGTCATAACACGAGTGAGGAAATTCGAGTAGTTTTGACCCAGAAAGCGAAAGTTGAAAATCCGACATTTAGGTGCAAGAATATGACAATAATTTCATGTTTTCCGTCCCGTTTTTGCTCATTTCTCGGAAGCAAACTGAGCAAAAACGAAAAGTCGATTCAGTCGTAACAACGTGAGTGAGGCACTTTGAATAGTTTTGACTCAGTAAGCGAAATTTGAATATCACACAGTTAGGTGCAAGATTATGCCAAAATTTCATGTTTTCTGTCCCGTTTTTGCTCATTTCTCGGAGGCAAAATGAGCAAGAACGCTGATTTGTACATCATTCTAGAGAGAAATAAATGACCTTTTTAGAAAGTGAACCATCGATAAGGAAATGTTGCCAGTTTTCTCAAAAAAGTCTTGATTTCAAGAAGTTTTAGACATTTAAATTGAATTAGGTACATTTCATTTTGCTGTAATTTGATTTCGTATATTGGCGACATTCTCGAGATTTATTGGAACTTAGACAAATAGTGCGAGCAATATAATGCGCTGTTAATTGATTTGTATTATTTTAAAATGTCAGAATGCTGGACTAAAGACGCATATCAACTCAACATAGGCACATAGCTCTGAAGCGAGATTTTGAGCGAATTGAGCTCGGCGTAATTGCCAAATAACGGATTTTTCTATCGTGAAACATCTTCTATAGTTATATATCCTAGTCACGTTTTACGCTTACGCTTACGCAGAGAAAAAAAAACATATTTTTGAAGAAAAACGTTTTGTAACATAATCGACATTCGTAAAATAAACAATTAAGTGTTTAAACGAGACACTATGGACAAGAGAGAGAAACAGTTCTCAATGCAGCTAATGGAGACAATGACATAAATAAAATCAAATTAATTTGAATGAATAAGTTATTTACAAGAAAAATTAAATAACATTTTCAAGGAATCGTAATTATGCTAAACTTGAAGCCATTAAAAAAGAACATTATTTTCGATTCCTAATTGCAGTTTTAAAAACAAATTTACTCACCTACCTGAATAATGTTTTCCATTTGATTCTCTTTCACAATATCTGCTGCTAGTTTATAAGTTTCGCTTGCTTCAACTGCATAAACGGTTTTGGCGCCTGCTTTGGCGCAAAACACAGACAAGATACCAGTTCCAGCTCCAACATCTAGAACGACTTTTCCTTCTATGCTGGTTTTATTATTAAAAATGGCTTCATGATATGCCGAGTTTCTAGGTTCATCACTCAGCATTAATTTGTGAATCTAAAATTTTAGCGCCTAAAGTAAAAGTGCCATTGAATCAGAAACCGTAAAATATAGTTCTCAACGGTAAACTGAACTTTAAAAAGTGGAAAATATTGGCGAAAAATCTGTTGCGGCTTTTGCAAAAAAATATTGAGTTGTTGGATATAAACCAAAATTTTGAAAAAGTAATTTCTCCAGGTGTGACTCGTAATTTTTTGTGGCAACCTTTCTACGCTACTGAACATCACACTTATTTTTGTTGCAACTCCTTTGTGATTATTGTTTAGCTTAATTACAAAAGTAGTACAGAGAAGTTAGGAAGAGAAATGAATGAATCTCACAGTAAATTTTACATTCATTAGCAGGTTTAAGCAATCTAAGCAAATCCTGGCAATCCACTTCAAGATAATAAAAAAACATCACCTTTGTACCCATCTGATATTATTTGAAGGTTGAAGAACCGTCGGCGCGACTAGTTGCTTGTGATCGCGTCTATAAGTAATATCTACTACATTTGCTGTAAGCTTGCGAAATAAAATATGGTTAAAGCAAAAGTGTATATTTATGCAAACGCTTTTGATGGGTTTCCAAAAGCAGGAGATTTAGAAATTGTTGAGGAGGAGTTAAAACCAATTAAGGATGGAGGTGTGTTGCTGCGTCTCAATTATTTCCTGTAGTTTTCTTAATGTTCGATTTTTCTTAGGAACAAATGATTAGTTAAATTATTAGTTCATTTATCATGAGAAAATATGTCTTTTGAAATGAGTAAACTCCATCTGACTGTAATTAGCACTTAACAAGAAAATTTCATCCAAGTGTTTTCAGCCCCACCGAATCAAACTTTCGATAAGTGTACATAATTTATTGTTCAATTAGTAAAGTATGACATTCCAGAATTCCTTGCTGAAGCTGAATTCTTGAGCGTGGATCCGTATATGAGAGGATATGCACCGGCATTTAAAATCGGAACACCTATAATAGGAGGGCAAATTGCGCTGTACGTAAACCAGATAAATTAATTAATAAACTATTGGTACTATTTAAATGAAACCAGCCATATGTTCACTATAAGAGCAACGCCAAACGTATTGTAGAATTCAAGAAAGCAAAAACCCAAACTTTCCAGTGGGGAAATATATCTTTGGGCAATTTGGATGGCGTACACATACAGTATCCAATGGGCTTCCTAATCCAAAAGACGCCATGTCTCAGTATGTCTTACCAGATTTTAAAGGTCTTTCTCCATCATTGGGACTTGGCGTTCTTGGAATGCCTGGGTTAGTACAACCGATAAATAAACCATAAGTTTTTGTTTCGAAAAAAAAAACGGAGGAAATATTTGTCGACTTATACAGCACGCAAGTATTTCATTTTTAGAAACACTGCATATTTTGGATTGTTAGAAATATGCCATCCAAAGCAAGGTGAAACAGTAGTGATTTCAGGAGCTGCTGGTGCAGTGGGAAGTCACGTTGGGCAAATTGCAAAATTAAAAGGCTGTAAAGTTATAGGAATTGCAGGTTCCGATGATAAGGGCAAGATGCTTATCGATGATCTAAAGTTTGATGGTTTTGTTAACTACAAGGATAAAGACTTTCGGAAAGTATTAAGACAGACGACGCCCAATGGTATCGATTGTTATTTTGATAATGTAAGAACCGAGAATGGGACAAACGCACGTTTCCGTCAAGTATTATTGCCAAATTTAAATACATTTCTAATATTTAATTACCAGTTGAGCTGAGATTAAGTCATCACTTTATTATTAAAAAAGTACCTCTTGATTTTATTGAAACTTTTTTAAAGGTTGGAGGTGAAATAAGTTCTACAGTAATCAGTCAAATGAACCTTTTTGGCCGAATATCAGTATGCGGAGCAATATCAGCTTATAATGAAAAGAATCCAAAAGGTAACAGTTTGTAGTAATGCAAATAGCCGCTTCATGAGCAGGGCAACTTTATGCAAAATTTCAAAACTTTAGCTAGTGTAATCCAAGGACCCTTAACGATGAAGCAACTAAAAATGGAAGGATTTATTGTGACAAGATGGTACGACAGGTGGATGGAAGGCATAAATCAAAACCTTGACTGGGTTAAAGAAGGAAAAATAAAATACAGGGAAACCGTTACAGTTGGATTTGAAAACATGTTTCAGGCATTCACTGATATGTTGAAAGGTGTAAATTATGGAAAAGCTATTGTGAGAGTTAAATCTATAGTTAAATAAATTTGGTTATAGGAAATGTGAAAACCAATGAATACAATTTATACAATATCAACCTGTCTCGTTTACTCAGTAAAACCACCATTAGAACCACTTGTTTCTAAATTATTGCAAAATTGCAACTGTACCAGATTACCTTTATTTCCAATAATCAAAAAATAATAAGTAGGTTAAATAGCCCAATTGGTTATTACAATGTGCTTAATCAACGCCACTATTGAGACTCAGACAGGTATAAATTATTTCCAAAATATAGCCAGACTAAGCCAAAACATCTGTTCAAAATTTCATTAAAACGTTTAATTGGATAAAAAACTATGCCTTGCAAACAAAAAAAATTGCTTTCCCATTCTGTTCTCTTACTATCAAATATCAAACTGCTATCAAATAATCGTAAGACTTAATAATACATATTCCGCTGTTGGGCCAGTCGTAGTGTTTTGAATAGAAAGTAAGAGAACAGAAATAATTATTTGCCCAAAAACTATGCTTTACAGCGTTTTACAAAGAGGACAAAAGTATTAGGTATTTCGATTAGAAAATACAAGATATTTGTAATATCTCGATTCTCCCATTCCTGAAAAATACTTCAATTGCAAAAAATGAGAAATTTGTAACAATTCGCAACTAATTCTATTATTTGGATTACTGCATTGCACATTCAACAAAACCATTCATGCAGAGCTTGGCTTATTTTGTAAAGCGTTTCTTTTTTGTATTTTCTATGTGAAAATGTATAAAGGGAACTACATCAGCGAAAACTGTGCATTTCAAATAACGTCCTGCAAATTAGAAATTGAGACAAAAATCTAAGTTTGTTAATAAATAACAAAAAAAGATCGTGACATATTTCTCTCGTAAATTGTAATCTTGTGAACGATATTCACAGCTGAGAATAAGCAAAACAAACTTGAAAGAAGCAAATAATTCTATTATTTGGATTACGGCATTGAACATTCAACCAAACCATTCATTCAGAGCTTGGTTTATTTTGCAATGTGTTTCTTTTTAATATTTTCTATGTGAAAATGGATAAAGGGAAGCACACCAGCGAAAACTCTGCATTTCAAATAACGTCCTGCAAATTAGAGATTGAGAAAAAAATCTAAGTTTGTTAATAAATAACAAAAAAAGATCGTGACATAATTATTTCGTAAATTGCAATCTTGTGAACGATATTCACAGCTGAGAATAAGCAAAACAAACTTGAAAGAAGCAAATAATTCTATTATTTGGATTACGGCATTGAACATTCAACCAAACCATTCATTCAGGGCTTGGTTTATTTTGCAATGTGTTTCTTTTTAATATTTTCTATGTGAAAATGGATAAAGGGAAGCACATCAGTGAAAACTCTGCATTTCAAATAACGCCTTGCAAATTGAACTTGAGCAAAAACTGCAAGTTTGTAAATAAATAATGAAAAAAACATACGATAAAAGATATACTTATTTCTTAAATTGTAATTTTGTGAACGATCTTCACAGCTAAGAATAAGCAAAACAAACTTGAAAGAAGCAAATTTCGAGAAGCATTGATGTGGAATGTAGAGTAAAAGTTATATTAAAAAGATACCTGCAAGTCTTCATAGCTTTTAAAGTAGCTATCGTTTGAGTTTTCAACTTCCATAATCTATATTAATTGAAACCCAACAAGAAAAACTGAGGAAACCGGAAAATAATCGAATTTTCCAAAGATAAGTGAATAACTGAACTTAACCTCACAATTATAAATTCTGGTGTAGTTACTGTCAAATGCAACTGGCCAAAAAAATGTTAAAGACCCGCAGTTTGTACTTATGTGTTAGTTTCATCGGGTAAGAATGCAGGATTAAATTAATTTTCTGTGCTCCATTTGTTACTAGTATGTATAGAAAGGATTAGGTATGTTGCCTTTGCATAAAAATATAATCTTTTAATGAGAATGGAAATGTTCTTGAATCTATAAACTATAAGAAGTTCTCAGGCGAATAAAATAAATATATTTATGCTAATAGGCAGCAGTTATCGCTTTATTTTTGCTTTTGGATTTCTCGGAGAACTCCTTTGAGTTATCTATATTTTTTTTATTATTATGTAAACTTTCACAGTTCTTTTTTTTTGTTTACGGTAGTAATTTCAAACGAGTGAGTGAGTCAGTGAAATACCTATACCTAGCTGTTGAAAGACGGGAAGTGTTTATTCTCCGATTGTGAATAGCCAGATTTTTTTTAAATTTTCCGCTAGTGTTAACAATTCAAGAAAGTAGTAGTGAGTGAAAACTGGTTATTACAAAACATATTTGCAACCGAACAATCAACGATAAAGTATGACGCCGCAGCTTACCAGATTTAGCAGATGCCCGAGATTAGTAATTTTTCGTCGTAGTATACCTATATAAAATTGCAAATCGCGCAAAATAAAAATTTCGCTTTTCGCGCTTCCATTTTATACGTATTTTTCTGTCATAAATGATTTCGTTCGTCAATAATTTAGACATACATAAATAACTCATATGTCGAGCATAAAAATAAATGGCATAAACAGGGAGCTTAATTGGCCTAATTTTACCCACTTACTTGTCTTTATCTATGGTTTTACCAACGTGTTAAAAGTTCAAAAACAAAATAAAAATATTGTGACAACCACTCAATCGCATTTTCTTATGAAATATAGTGTAACAGTTTTTAAACTATATTTCAAAAAGGTTCGAAACTTTTATAATTAAACTTAGGTGACGCCAAAAACAATAACGAATGGGTAAAGTTTATATCCATTGTCTTTCCCTTCTCCTTGAGTCTGAAATTCCATTCGATACCAACATAACCAAAGCTTTTTCAAGTGATGACGTCCGTTTAAATAGTAAGAATAAATAAGTACAAAATGATGAAGAAAAGACAGCAGTAGGTATTTTGTAATAATGGAATTATACGTAATTTAAAAAGAGTTGGCATATTGCATAGAACATGATTTTTAGAAGTAAATATTATAAGCGCCTTCAAAGTTCCAAAAGAGATAGTGATGACAGTAGTGGAGAAGAAACTGAACTCTTTGTTCGAAATAAATCTCCCAAAAAGGAAATACCTACTAAAGAAAAGACTATAGATGAAGGTGACACCTTACAATCATTAGCAATTCGTTACCATTGCACGGTAAGTTCGATAGAATGAATTCCAGATACTCAAGACTTCACCGTTTGCTAGAGGCAAACAATTCTATTCCATTCTGGTCATGTAACTTTCAATTTAATCATTCACTGCATACAATATATAAAGTGTCTGAGAACATTAGAGGCAAATCTCCGCAATATGCAATAACCTCGCGAAAAGGATAATATCAGTCCATCTGGACTTTTCTCGTATGTGCCCCTTATTGGGAGGTATGGGCTTCAAAAGACATTCAACGGAATTAATTAAGTTTTTTACGCTTATTTATTTTGATGTAATTGATTCATAACCAGAGAAATCCGAGATATTCAAACAATAACATTCACCTATTTCGCGTTGTATGATCGGACACCGTATGCTGCCCTAGTTGAACCATTCCATTAGTTCTATGGAACTATTGCAATTTTAGGCGCAGTTTGATGTTAGGAACACTCTTTGAGGTCATTAGTCATTATGTTAATGGAATTTTCCATGAAATTAATTGTTAATTTTTAGCAAATTACAAATTATTATATTACAAAGGTGTAACGCCTTTTAGGCAATCTTGCCAATTTAATAATATATTGACAGACCAATATCTAACCCAGCAAAATTTTATTTATAAATTTAAAAGAGTTTTCAGATCGGACTGTTTTACGAAATTTTTAATTTTCGCACCTAAAAATGATTTGCGACTATTGATCTGAAGTGCTAAAAGCAGAGGGAATACCGGTTTCGGTAAGGACATTTTGTCAAAAAGTATCGAATATTAAGTAAAATATATTATTTTATGTTCCACAGGTCATTAAGCACGAGAGGAAATTTAATAGGTAGATGTCTTTCCATGAATAATAATCAATTTTTACTAAAAAAACACCACTACATGCATGCATGAATAAATTTTTCTCTACCCTATGAGTAGACAATCACATCTTCTACTTTCAAAGCAAAGACCAACTATTTGACACTGAAAAACTTGACTGTAAATAAATCATATTTGTAAATCACTCATATATGTATGATTTATTCATTATAAATATTTCATGATAAATTATATAATTTTGCTGCAGATCGAGGACTTGAAAAGACTCAATAATATACATAAAGAAAATGAAATATTCGCCAGAAGGACAATCAAAGTGCCGCATAGGCCACTTTCAGAAGCCTTAGCTGGAATTCATGATAGTGGTAAAAGTTCACCAACTGATCTCCATGAACCATCCACATCCAGATTAATTGATGTAGATATGTTAGAATCAAAATTAGAAAAAGAACAAGACAAAAGTGGAGAGCTTAACCAAATTATTTTCAATAGCAATATTGCCCATAAAGACGTCGAAAGAGATGATTCTGTTTCGAATGAATATGAGGATGGTCGTCTATTACCACTACGTTCCCCTATAGCCTCTCCTGATCCGATAATCTCTAGAATAAACTGCAGTGGATCTGATTGGGATATTTCGTATCCTGCTTTAGTTGTTTGCATTATATTAGTAATTTTTGCGGTTCCTTTAATTTATGTATTTTATATCGCTGAACACCCAGAAAAATATCAGAACCATACACATTTCAATAGATGATGATATTTAGTTATAAATTGGATAGCGAAATGTGAAGTGCTAAACTTTATTCGTTAAGTGCAATTCTTTAAAAATTGTGTATTTTATTTAAAAAATCTAATGTGTGATGTGACAATCATTATCAAATGTCTTTATTTGCTTTTTGGTTGTCGCCTTTAGTATTATTGATTGAGATTTGCTATTTTAAATGCGCTAGACATATCTGGACGTTGTGATAAGTCATTTATTTACTAAGGAAAAACATTAAACTGTTTTGCTATACAGGCAATAATCAAAAAATGTTTTGTAACCTAATCGCAAGGTGTTAACTAACCCAGTCTAGACAATTAGGCAATATACAATATTGATGGCTATGTTGATAATGATTATCACTAATGAAATGCACTCAGTGCAACATATATCTAGTTTTCGGGCTATGACTTATGTAAAAAAATATTTGACTTTGCGGGATTTTTGCTAAGTATTATCGCATCGACTCGGAATCTGAAATTGCTTTTTTTTATCAATATTATGTATATCAAATTTATTCGATTACCAGTATTTTACATAAAACGTGTTATATATATTTTGACTTTTGAATATTTTTAAATTTTGACTTAATATTTTTTAATTTTATTTACCACGATTTCAATTAGCGCAGTTTATAAAATTGTAAAGAAATTAATTTAATTGTCAAATTAAAACAAGTTTGTGACATATGTACGTATTTCACGAAGCCTGATTTATCAAAATCGGAAAAAATCGCCATTAGGAGTCGACTACTTTTATGTGTCGCCAACTGTGCTTTCTGTTACTTTTGAGTGCTAAGTTAAAATAAAAATGTCAATGCGAAACGCATTAATGCGGCGTAAAATCGCAACTGCTAACGAGGATATTTTTTCGTTTTTTAGCGGTTTCTTGGCTAATTGTAATCTTGAGAGCTTCCGTACAGAGAAGTGAAATCAAAGTTTCAACGAGCTGGTGTTTTTTTTCCGATTTAGATCATCGATACATAATCTTAGTTTTCAAACGCTGAAAGTAATCTTTGTTCTTTTGAACTACCATGAGTGTTTAGTAAAGGTCGTGATAGTTTACTGGACACAATTAAAATATTACCCAAAGTTTTCCTTTCCCAAACACGGTCCTAGATTCTGTTAGCAACCTCCAGATTTCTTATAAAGCAAGTTAAAGTATGTCCGTAGTTAAGTTATGTACATAATAGTTAGCAACACCCTGAAGATCTGCCGCTGCTCCATTAATAATTAGCTTATTATTATCCAGCAGTGAGCAAATTAGTTGTTTTGTATATCAGTTTTAGGATTTAAGGAAAGCGATGTAGTAATTTTCTTCTAATTTCAGTGAAAACAGAGTATTAGTATTAGATAATTAAGTAATTTAAATTAAATTAATTTAAAAAATCATTAATGTTGTTTCAAATTTGATATTAAAAAATCTGTCCCTCATCAAGCTCCACAACGAGTTGCCAAGTTGAAAACCCACGAATCGATGCTATACAGGGTGATTTAAGTAGACCGTGCATTAAAATTTTCCAACTCAGTTGTTTTAAAAACTTAAAATTTTGTTTTCGGTCAAAATCTCAATTCAAAATGTGTACCCCGCAATATTTCTTTCAAATTCTACGAACATTTTCATACCGATGAGTGAATTTGAAATTTTGACGACATTTAAAGCGCACTCTTCTCTAATGAACGCACAACTCTAAACGTGTAGAGTATTTTTTGTTTCTAAGTTTTTCATTATAACTCATCGCGTCTCTCTGCCGGACTTTTAATTACACTTAGCATATAACCCAGGGGCGGATTAAAGCTTTACTGAAATTTAACACCCAACAAAAGTCACCACATTCTTTATGGGTAACGTTTTACCAAATGGGTGACTGCTTCGGTCGGTTGGGTTGACGCACCAAACCATTTGGGCATCACTGAATTTACTGATATACCCATGGCTAAAATACTGTGTTATCACCTGTAGTTTTTAAAGATCGTAAATATTATAATTTTTGACAACGTTTTCTATTAAAGCGAATAAAACGGTCGGTGTCAAAAATATAGTCTGTGAAAAACTACGTAGTGTATTTAATCAAACCTTTCTTATTAGAATACACTTTTCTAAAATTAAAAACTAAACGACTTCCTAGTACAAATCTTTATTGACATAATACCAGACACATATTGAATTGTCTGTTTAAATTATATAGAACATGATAAACTTACATCTATGGTTAATGAATATTTGGTTGACAAATAATGCCATCGGAGAAACGACCAACATATATTTTGTACTTATTCATTTCTCCTAGCAAAACTACTAAAATAGATTTTTTTTTTCATTAGGATTTCTGCTTTTTCAAATTAATACATTTTCTGAATAGTACTTTATACATTTCTAACTTAATTAATGCCGGTACACAATAAGTTTTTCATGAATATTTTGTTTGTTGCTAGCAAAAATGTTTAATTTCTCAAACTGTTTATCTGATTTTTTCTGTCCTAAAATTGCAATTTACACATAAATCATATTGTATACCTAACTAACAAAATCCTAAATTAACTTCCTTAAGGAAAACGAAAACTACTTCAGTCACAAAAAAATTAATCTTAACACCTAAGACGGGGACTTAAACTTACAAAGTGAGATAAAAAATAATCTGCAGTTGTGAGAATTTTTCTTATATTACCAGCTGGCCTAAGCATAAAACTGATACATTCCTGATTGGTCTGATAATCAAATTAAACGAGTTTCTACCAGTTGTCCTAATGCCCATAGAACAGAAAAGTTTCTGGAATGTTTCTTATAATTAAATCATAATTATAAACCATACTATTCTGGTTGCTAACGTACTTAAGAAAAATGAAAACTAATGACGATTCCAAAGGTTGGATTATACTAAAAACTTATAATTATTTGTTGGTGTATAGATGTACTAGAATTATGTAATGAAACTGAATACATTAAGCAAATATTTTAGAGGTTACTTCTAGTAATTTCTTCTTAGAAATTTCGGTTGTCCGTATTTTGGTGGACGCTGAAAAGAAAAAATTGTAATTAATAAACATCTAAACTATGTTCATTTAACATGTTGTTCCCAACAATGGGAGTGGCCGAACAAAGTTCGTTCAAATATCGTCCTACATCTCCCATATGCTTTTTTGGATGATTGGGACTATTCGAAGAATTTTGAAAGTACTACTTCTATGTTTAACTGATGGTTAGGACTAAAGCACTTTCTTTCCACAGATTGACTGTTGATCCCTGTGACTAGCGCAATTTCAGATAATATATTGTATATACAGTTTTCAATAACCCAGAATATTTCATAACATTTGACATAGTTACAAATATTATCCAAATCATAAAGCCATGCCAAGCAGAAGTAGTCATATTATTTTGAATCGTGAAGACAACTTAATAAAATACATTTTAACCCTATGAATTAACCCGACTGGTTATATATGTCACATTTATTACAACTGAATTTAATTAACCATTAATGTGCATATAGAACTAGATGAAATTTCCATGTATCACTCAGCAATATGAAGTGTTCCTTAACATTACTTGACAATATATAATCATAAAGATTAGTTTCAGTACAAGTTAATAATGCATCGTGATCATTATCTGTAATAATAAATATTAAATTATTATCTGTAATATTAAATTTATTAAATCCGCTGTATCAGTATGGGAAGAATTCTAATGAAAAATTTCGACATTTAAGTACCAAATCATGCCACGGTTTCATAGTTTAATAAATGTATTAAACTATGAAACCGCTACAGGATTATAGTTATTGACATGTTGCGTATGTTCACTCGCATCGCACGTTCATGATTTCTTCATTTGCTAGTCTTTAATGATAACGTCGCTAGTTTTTCGCCAACGAACAAAAACACAAAAAAAGTCTGAGTGGAAAAGTTCCATGGTATTACCAATAGTATAGTTTGAGGTCATATTAAAAAACACCTTTGTGGAGCTTTGATAATGCTCAATATGCTTCCCGCCCTTGTAGTTATTGAGGCATCGCAAAATCGATATATCCACAATACCGAAAACTTGAATTATTAATATACATCTACTGCTGTTTTTAATAAATAAGTACAGGATATTAAAAAAATTAATCCCCAATTAAATGTTGGTGTTTCCCTGTATGCTTCTATCTAAAATAGCTTTTAGAGAGAGAGAGAGAGAGAGAGAGAGTGTTTAAATTGCAAATCTATAAAAAATATAATTGAATATGCGTGCGTTACGAGTTCAATAGATTTCTGTCTTTAATCTACTGAACTAAAATTCCAACCCATCAAGTGGGCAAATTCTTTCCAGGACACTTTTAATACTTCGAACACTTTTCTGAACATTTAGACTCGCCATGAAACATGCCATACGGTGAACATAAAAACACAGTAAAATAGAATAATTAAACAGTTTACAGCCTCAGCTTTCATTAACTTTCTTTGTGTTTGTTTCACCAAGAACTGAGAAACGTACATTGTTCAGAAGAAAAACGCTTTCCACTTAATGTTTGCATTGTCTGGTAGATGTGCTCTTGACATAAATTGAACGGTCACAACATTAATAAACATACAAAAAGGGTATATTAGACGCATTAAAAAAAGTGATAATAAAACGCATCAATAGCATCATATTCCTTTTACATTTAATATGTTAAAAGCCACCTTAACCGCTATAGCTATATGAAATGCATATAAACCAGCTTTGTTTCCATGTTTGTATTTTTGACGGTTCTGATAATTATTTAAATTACAACAAAGCTAGTTTATATTAATTTGCCCATGAATCAGCAAGAAGAGATGATGATGCCTCGGCGAAATGAAGCAACTTTGTGGGATGATTAGTGATTCCTTGTTTTTTCAAATTAGAACAACAAAATCACTAGTCTTCCATACAACATTGCATCGGTTAGTAGTAGCAAGCGGGTCCATACCAATATTATTAGTTCAGCGCCGATGATGACGAAGTTAGTTAATTTATATAACGTAAAACTGGATAAATGACAAATGTTTACATAATACATTACTAAAGCGGAAGACAATTGTTAGTGTGAAACCAAAATGAGGTAGGAGGTTGTATATTACATTTGGAAAATGGCATATACAAAATATATCAGGTATATGTAAGTTTTTATAAAACCTACTGAAGTTGAAGTGTTTAAAAAAATTGTAAAAATGCAGCGGGTAACAATGTAGCAGTTATCTAAGCACCTTGATGTCGACTTGGAAGAAGCACAATGAAAACATACCTTCCCAAATATGTTCTTAGCTATACAGTCATTGATAATAAATTCTTAATTTTTGAACCGTGGCAAATACCTGATCAACAGGAATGTTTTTGTATTGATAAGTTAGTCAGGGTGACAAAATTAAGCAACAGAGAAAACAAACACAAAACGAAGGGCAATTAACACTTCTTAGAAGTGCAAATAAGCGACGGAGAAATCCGATTGTAATTAGATTGGCGTTTCTTAGCTGCTACATTAGAAATACCTAAGAGGGGTTGAGACAATATCTCGCGTTACAGGAGAAGATAATGAATAATTAAGAAGAAATGGGGCATACCTTTGCTGTAATAAATATTGGGCCATTTGTATTTGATTGGGGGTTCCACTAATAGTGATGATACGGTCAGTTGAACCGGGCAGAGGTTCGTCGATAGTTATTCCGGCACCAGACTCATTACGGATCTTGCGAATCCTACCGCCGCCTTTTCCGATAATAGCTCCAGCAAGCTAAAAATTATGGTTCATTAGACCCATGAATAAGAGGGCATATTGGAGTACATATTAAGTGATAAAAAAGAGGTCGATACTTAGAACAAGCCACGGAAAGGGCACAAACCAGCTTCAATGCCGAACATTTAAAGATCTAATGATGAAGCTTGAAGACTCTTTTGAAATACATGACATTAAAATGTTTAGATAACGGATTCCTGATTATGATTTTGAGAAGTGTAGTCCGGAGACAGTGTTAACTCACTCAGGAAACGTTATATAAGATAAATAACATACATAATCAGCACACAGTATGAAATATTAGTACTAGTAAATAAAGGGACTACTACTGAAGTTATCGGATTACAACTAACGAGATTACACCTTTAAACTTCATGCACAATTAACAGCAAAGAACGGAAGTGTATTCACTATAGTGCACAAGGAATCAGAAACTCATGTGTTGATCAGCATACGAGTTTTTGTGCATTTCCCTCACGTTTTCCGTTTTTCAGGATCATAACGCAAAAATCATGCACATTAATACAAACAATTACACAACTATGATGTACAAAGAAAGAGTTGAGTATTTTTATCAGCAGTAATTACCACCAGCAGTCCTAGGATCAGTTTTCAACGTATTAGATATCGATAGATAATATATTTACCGCACTCGTTCAGTATAGCATTCCGGACTCAAGAGAACTAAGCTTTAAATCGTACAAATAAAGAAATGTTTTTTTCGGTGGTATCGGTTAAAGGCACTATTTAATTCTGTTAGATGTAGACAAGATATTTAGCCTACAATACAGTAAAGTGATGCTTTCGGTACCCAAATAAGTGGACTTTCAGGTATGCGATAGTTTATAGCAAATAAATACCTCATTATATTAGCAGCTTTAGAAACAAGAGCAAGAACTGCGTTTTTTAGACGACGGCGAATTTGTCTCCATTCGGCAGGAGTACGAAAAACAGATGTAAACTCTCGCATCGAAGATAATTTTTATTTGAATTAATCAGAAACTGCCATTTTTCGCACAGAAACTATGATCAAAAGAAGCACTTTTAAGGTGCATTTTATTTAGCATACTGGCATATTTTATTTAGCATGTAGTTTGACTTACTTTTGCGCAGTGTGCTTTACAAGGTGTTATTTAATAATTATCATTATTTGAGAAAAGCGCAACACGAGGAAATTCACGCGTTTTAAAAACTATTTTGTAAAAAAAAAACGATACATTTCGCTCTTGTATCGAAAACTATTGTTATGTGGAAATGTTTGGAAGTTGGTGAAGCAAAATTGCACTCACTCGTAAACGTCTCCAAACCACACACTGTTATCAGCATCATTCGCAAACTCAAAAGCAGCTACCGAAAAGCAAAACGCTAGAAACTGATCCTGTGATGGCTTGATGGTTGTCTATCTACTAAATAACCAGTATTATATACACACCATTTGTAACTGAAAAATTCTTCGGTTATTACATATCCAAGTTTCCCGTAATTACAATCACCACGATACAAACTCATGGACTCCTTAATTTATCACTAACCATTTCTTTATTTATACCACCTATATTATTTAGTAAAAACTGACGATCTAGCTATTAGGTTGTCCCACAAGTTTTTTGCCTTCCGAGCCACATTATTAATTATTTCTTTTGTATAAACACACCGGCGTATCGGGATGTCACTTGAACTTGCATACCATTCGTATATGCGAATATCTAATCTTATGCGACGACGACTTTATGAAACGCGTCTCCACGTGTGATTTCTTCTTCAACCAGGAAATATCCAAAATAATCTTCTGTGTATTTAAGGGTACTGAAAGGTTTAGTAAATCACGAGCTCCTTCCTCAAGGTGAAACGATGTTTGCTAAATATTTAAATCGATTAAAGCGGAAGAACGTCCTGATCCAGATCCAATGCCGCGTCTCGACATAATTCAACGCGCTCGCGATGTAGTTACATACCATACATATCAGTGTAAACATAGTAGAAACTAGACGCGAACTAGAAATGTGTGATACATTTATGGTCGGGTTTCAACGGCAGGTCAAAGAGACTTGTGACAGAGTGGAGCCCTGAAAACTTAGATTTGAAATTCGCGAGTATTCACTGGAAAGATCGTCCGAGAAAATACCCACAGGAGCGGTGAGGTTGCGTTTGCCTCTCGTTGCATCACAAAATTCAGATTACTGCCTACGTCGTTAAAAACTCTAGAAGTGATAAATATCTCAAATCCGTGAAAGCGAAATAAACACGCATATTTTGCAAGTAAGCGTCGATAGTTTCGGAAATAGGACATAATGTAGCTAGAAAGTATATCAGGTATTGAAAGGTTAAGAGCAGATCTTATAAAATACAAGTATAATCTTTAACTGACAAATATCGTGAATTATTTTTGAGTCTAAAATAAGACCACTCATGGGACTCCCTAACTGATTTAACCACTGTTAAACTATGACCCGAGTAATTTAAAAGCACTTACGTCGGTGGGAATCGTAACCTGGGTTTGGGTGAGCCCTCCAGGCCCCGATGCATTGCCTAATCCAATGGGTCCAGACGCGTTAGGCGGAGGCGAGCTAAAGCTTGGTGGAGGGTTATTGAAAGAGTTGTTGCCTCCTCCTCCTCCACCCCAGCCATTCCGCTCAAAACCACCACCACCACCTACTCCATTGTTGGCACGACCACCGCCAAATCCAGCACCATTACCAGACCCGCCTCCTTGACTGCCACCAAACGGACTGCGATTGTCACCAAACGAGTTTCTGTTGGTGAATCCACTGTCTCGGTTGGGGCCACTTCTGTCAAAACTGTTCCTATCGAAATAATTGTTCTTTTACCTTCAATAGAGTTCGAGATAATTAAACAATTCGAACTATTCGATTACGGCGTTTATCGCAAAATATCTCATAATTGTCAGCACTATCAGAAGGAATTTAACTTAATTTATGAATTTCTATTCAGTTTATCTTAACTATTGCATGTTAATGCGCTCTTTAAACTAAAATATTTGAAAAATATTTCATTTAAAACTCTACCTGTTGTTGAAGCCGCCACCACTTGCTCCTCCTCTGTTTGGTGGTCCGCTGTCACCTCCAAATCGATTTACTGGCTTGCTACCTCCTCCAAAAGGTGGTTCTCTTATTCCACCTCCGCGAGGTCCACCCAGACCTGGCCCACCTGGTCCTCCAGCACCACCCGGTCCACCTCTAGGTCCATCTCGTGGGCCGGGCCCACCTCTTGATCCGTCACTAAAAGACCTAAAGAAACTTTGATCATTAGAGATTCGGTTTTACATTGCTGTTTTGATAGAAAACTACTCCGCTTAAAGAGCCATTTTCTGAATACATAAGGTGAACTGCTCCGAGCAGTTATACATATGTACATCGTCAAGGTGAAAAAATTGCCTTATCCGCCGCCACCCCACTTGGGATGAAACTGATCGGCATAATTTTTACACTCATTTAATAGCATTGCTTTGTTTCAATAACATGCTTATTGCTGGTTTTTAGTTATCATTTGAATTCTATTATGTATAGACATGATTTAATGCACTTGAAATTAGCCATTTAAGCTCATATGTCTAACAGTTTTTGCGAAATTATTTAAATATATTTTGCTCTACGAGGGCCAATCTCTGGATATTAATGAGTTGATGGAAGTGAGACTGCTGTTTCACAGTTAATATGACAAAGACTAATTACCGTTAGCCTGTGTTAATTGAAAGGATTCGTAATTAAATAAAAACAGCAGAAAATGCAATAAATAAAATAAAACGCATTACGGAGCCTTGGCATATAAATTTGCGATTCGGACACGTATTTTACGTGAAAATATGTCGTATTTTAATTATACACTTTTGAATATTACAGCTAGTCGATTACAAGCCTTATATTGAAAAGAAAAAAATTGTGGGGTATCACTTGCTCCGGAAATAATGCTTGGTACTACTTTATGGAGACATTTTTGTGTGGTTCAATTGCATACTTGGTTTTTAAGAACACACAATCCAAATTTTAAACAGTCTACCCAAATACCAAAGAAAATAAGGAGATTTGTTTGCATGTTGCACTGAATAAAATAATTCAAATTTATAATAGTTGCTGCCGTAGGATTTGTTGATTACGTTGGCCTGTATTGCATTGTTCACTGTATTGTTTGTTTTTACCTTTTAAAATCGATGTTCTTATGTGTCATTCGCTTTGTCCATAAAATGTACATTTCAGATTTTCCGTGGCAAAAAAGGCTACCTTGATTTCATTTGAATAATTGCTAAAGAATCTCAAATACAAGGTGGTTTCAGATAAATAGCATAAATTTGAAATTGCCCCGTATAGTAACATTAAATTTAAAAAATTCTATTCAAAGACAACTCACAGTGGCATGCACGATTTAGTCGAAATTAATCAAGATAATCACATTCATTATTTATTTATTTACTATTATTTATAAGTAAGTAAGAAAGCATTGACTTTATTGAGCAAATATGCATAATTTAATAACAATTGCTGTGAAAAATATAGGTTTCATATTGTGAACATAACATAAGTGTTCTTCTGTCTTATGTTCCATGAAGTAATGAAACTCAGTTTAATAATAACTCCAAAGGAATTAACAGCAAAACTAATATAAACAGTAGCAAATATTAGTGCCAATTGTTCAAGCCTGCAAAGCAACATTGCAGCTGCTTTCAGTTTGTCGTCTATTGTTAGTTAAACTGTTACATTGTTAACACGAAACGCTAATTATGCTTATACTATACTACGTTTACGTGACTATTCACAGGCTGAACCAATCACCTGCATCGACTGATCAATAAGTAAAGTAATAATTCTATTAAAAGTAATGAAATAAAACTCCTATTAAAGCTAGCAAAATTAATGAATCAAGTCAAGACTGAGCCATCATTATGCCGTTTAATGCCTAGAGTCGTTAGAGCGATGTAGTTTTACAGGACGCACAAAACATTAATTTGTAAAATTTGGATATGCAGTAGATGCCAATTAAAGAAAATCTCATGCTCGTCTGATTTTCCTTTATTAATTTGATCGACATATTGCTCATGATTATTTATAGAACAGAATTAAAGTTAATCATTGCAAACTAGTTATTCCCTTACTAAATATAAAATATACTTGATAAAGGCTTACCGTCCACCGCCTGCTCCGCCGCCTCCTCTTGGTGGTCCTCCACGTCCTCCGGTGCGGCCTCCAAAGTTAGGACCTTCTCTGTCCCGACCGCCCCCTTGTTGTTGACCACCCCATCCGCCATACTCATTGGCGTAGAACTCATCGAAGTTATGTGGGTCGTAAGGGTTAACAACACCTTTGATAGGGCTCTAAAGAATCAAATTACTATAATATTTCGTTTTTCAATAAAGAATCTATATTAAACATTTCTCTACAGTAACTTCAATTTTCAATTTCAGTTTTTTGGATTTGAAATAGATTAGGTTGGATATCACAAAAAGGTGGCGGTCCGTTTTAATAGAGTGTGGTTTTTTCATAATTGTGACGAAGTGAAGAATTCCTTTCATCTTATTCGATTAGAAGCCTATTGGTTAATTTTCTCGTCTAATCAACTTTATTTTAGAGAAAAAGAAATTGCTGAAGAAAACAGATATTTTCCTTCAGCAGTGTCTAAATGACTACTTAATTTTGCTATCGACAATGTCATGTGAATCGCATTATATCGGAAATATGGAATTATTGTGACCCTTATGGCAAGTGAGGTCATTTGTAAGTGTAGTGAACGTTTTGATGATTAATGGGAAGAAAATGGAGGATAGGATGACAGCTTGCAGAAAGCTAGTAACAATGATCTCTAATCTAAAAATGTTTTAGCTTGAACTGAGTTTAGTTTTCCGACAAGCAACTGAAGTTTTATGGATTCTTTTTATTTCTCTTTGCTTTGCTGATTTCAAATAATTTTGGCTTTGGGCAGAATTCCTGCGGTATTAAACACATTTTTTCTTTCATTCCAGGTGGCACTACGCTTCTTTCGGCAAGCTAAGAGTTACTATGCCCCTGATGGACATGCAGAACTTTTAGTTTCATATTCATCAACTGAATCGTAGGGTGGATTTGGTATCCGTTGATCTATTCGTTTTTTCGTAGTTAATTTTTAATCCTAATTAAACTAAATTATTATTTCCTTCCTAGTCCTTTTCATTTCCAGTGACCTGTATAGTCAACAACGGTCTACGAATTATCCTCTCGTCATAGAGAATATAACTAATAAATAAATCACATAGGTAAATCACTGAATAGTTAGAATAAATTGAATTTCAAACGATGTGCTTACTAAAACCGCACAGCAAATATTTGAAATAAATAAAGTGTTCAGATATATCAAGGTAACCATCATGTCGCTTTCGCCTCGGCAAAATATTGAAGCTCCTTATCCCCATACGATGCAATTTGCTACATTTTGATGCATGAAAGTTATCTAGCTAAACATGGAATTGTAAAACGGTTGCATTAACATTGCAAATTCATATGAGATATTTTCAAAAGGCTGAAACTTCATGTCCAATTGCTTTTATGTTTGACAACGAACATATATTTAATACACGCTATAAAATTTCCACCTTAACTTGCACATGTTGAGAATAAACTTAGAAACTGGCCACCCGTATCAGCTGTGATATTTTTATTGGAAAGGTAATGCGAGAAGATTAAATACTGAGGATTTACAAAAACGAGTGTTTCAAATAGATTTAAAGCCTTTCAGTGGAGGAACATTCTAAGTAAATTAAACCTTCGTCGACAACCAGGCAAACTCAGCAGATAATTCCTTAGGAAACCATTATTCTCATAATTAAACTTCCGTAGTAATATACATGATAAAATCAACGAGAAAAGATGATGCCAGACCAAACCCACTATCCTGACAGGATCTCTAACCGATTAGAAATGTATAGTAAATTTTCCTGTATCTGCTTAAATATTATAAAAAATATATTTGGTTGAATAAATAAAACTTTGCACCACAAAGAGAGTAACATTCACCACTATTTATTACTTGTGTAAAATTTTCGTATTTTATTGCTTAAAATAGTAATGTTTTTAAAATTTTCTCTAATATAAGTTTCCAAGTTATTATAACTGAAGGTTTGAACTACGCGTGATGGAAAACGAATATATACACTTTCGGTAGAGTCAGATTTTCAAGGGTAACTAAAAGTGACAAAACCAAATTGAATGAGGCACAATGTGATTGGTTTCATATTGTTTCACATTTGGCAGACAAACAAAAAAATGAGATGCGCAATTGAATTTAAGACAATTGAATCTGCCTTTATCTGATTATTAGTAATCTGGACGCTTTTGCATGATGGTGTTAAAGGATTTACTCTAAATCTAGTGGCTTGTACATATTTCTCTTAAGGCCATTTATCAACATTTGACTAAAATTAATTACTATTTGACGTTCTTATTAAAACCTGACCCAGAAATAAAAAATTATTCCCTGATAAAATGAAAAATTCCATGCAAATTGAAAACCTTTAATCATGAGATAATTCGTTTTGAGATTCAACTTTATATGAAACCTCTAAATTTTTAAACCACTTTATAATAGCATGCACATTTTTTTCTTGGAAATTCTTTATTGCCAAAGCGAAAATTGGGGTCTGTTAATTGCTCCAGTTTCTATGCATAATATTGCTTTTGTAATGAGGCATAACCGAAAGCAATCTCCGAAAAATAAATGCTAATTTTCAAGTGACATACACCAACACTGTCTAAACAACTTTCGAAAATAATCGCTTGAAGAAAATTACAAAAAATCGATTTTAATTAGTGAAATTAAAATAAGCTCAGATCTGAATAAATAGAGGTTTTAGATAATAAACTCGGGACACTTTGCTGTAGAGTAATACACACTGTTGTTTTCCATCATACGCGTTCTAGCTAATTATTGTCCTTCAAAGGAATGTTGATGGAAATTGTCCTTCAAAGGACAATAATTCGAACAAATTTGAGGTTTCAAGGCAGCAAAGACCTAAAAGAATCTAATGGTTACCAATTATGAGTTTGGATGAGTTTTAAAGCTGATGATAGCTCTGTTGTCTCGCAAAAACGTTATGAAATAAACGATATACAAAAAAATATTTCACACTTTGACTGAAACCCCGGAAGGAAAAGAATATAATACCAAGTTATTGTAGTTAAGTACTATCTAATATCATTAAATTTTCCCTCGAAACCACACAATCACACGAACTTTTGTTTGTGTGAATTAATAATTAGTGAATAACTTACCTGTTTAATTAGGGTAAGCACCTCACGCAAAGTGTCGATACACTTGGCCGGCTCACCAATGATCTGAATAACACGGTCAGAGCTCTGCGGGGCGGGATTTGAAAATATTTTGATACGGGTGCCAATTTTCTGGAAATAAAGAAAAAAAAACTTATTAATCATGAGATTGATGAATTAATAGCAATAACAATGCAGCAAAACACGAATTGAAAGAGCACAAAACATCTTCCGACTTCTCAGTTGTAGAAAATTATCAGGGCAGCCTAATCCAATCACTCTATCTCCTAAAATAGGTTCAGCTGGAGAATCTCGGTTTAATATTGAAATTTCCCACAGTAAATTTTAGAAGCAAACGTGGTGTGAAATTGCAAATGTCGGACCTCAACCCTGTGCCTTGCATACGAAATTTAACCTCGTTGATTTTGTCGAGCATTCCGGCATTTCCTCCTAAACTAGACCTTCCATTTGATCCTTGCTGGGTTTGCATAGATTCTAGTTGATTGGAAAATAGCATTTCAAACTGTATTTGATAAAGTTTTGCAGTTGACAGTAAAATATTACCGTCTATCTTTTACGAAATTGAACATTGAGTAATTAGCTGTTGATTCGAATGACTGTATCAAAGTTCGGATAAGTATTTGTATAAATTAATCAACTGTAGACTTTTATTTGAATTTATATTTTTTTCTGTATTGAAATATTTTGTGCTGAAAAAAGCATGACAATAGAATTATCTGCCTGAATGTCTCATTAGTCTGTCCGCTGCTTAGCCTACATCATTAATCATAAAACAAAGAAAGTCGTTGTTTCGTATGGTATTTAAGGAAAATATTAAAGAGTGAATTGACGAATTTCCTCGCAAAAAAAAACGTTTTTTGATTAATCGAAGAATTTTGCAATGGCATTATTCAGTCTAAATGCCAAATTATTTGACAAAAAGTTAATTAAGTCCGTTCATTGTGAGAAATCACCGCCAAAATACGGTGTAACATTTAACACACAATTTAAATCCAATAATGAATTTAATTATTAAATTCATTGAAATGCAACGATAAGTATATAAAATCAAAGTATCTCAAATCAATGAAAAACTATTGGCAAATACTTAGGACTACGTAGTAACTAAAGATTTCAGAGGTTTTTAAAACTTTGTTCTGAACAGTTGCTCGTTTAATTTACAAATGGCCCCTTATCCATACTCAATTTTCTCTATTTTTGAAAAGAAAGAAAGACTGAGAACTTTTCCAAGTCAATTTATGTACATAAGGTGATACGTGCTGGCGACCTCCGGCGCAATATTTTACCTGAAGCACCAGAAACTTTTCACTCGGAGAGAAACGTAAAAAGTTACTAAAAGATGGATGAAACAATAATGTTCCGTAACTTGTGTCTTCTATTTAGTCGGAATTTCTTATACGTATGTCGCTTTAATGTGAGCAAAAGCACTTTTTTGAACGTATTTCATAATCATGCAAATGTGGAATAAAACATGTCTAATGCTGGTTGCTGTTGTTCTTTCACGACTGTTTTTGCAAAAAAAATACGCTTATTTTGAAACCCTATAACTGAAACCCTTGCTGAATTATGCAAACACTTTTCAGTTACAATTGAGAAGATGTTTTGTCGTATTTTAACCGAGCATTGCTTAATTTTTTATTATATACATATATTATTACTCCTATAATAAAAAATAAATTACTGTATTTATTTTATATTATCATTCAAAAAGTTATATTAGCAATAGTAAAAATTGGACAAATTACAGAACATGTTCATTGTTGTTTAATAGAAATTCCATATGAAATATTCCGCAATAGGTTTCCAAATCCTCTCAATTAAAATGTAAATTATTGATTTTCACATAACGAAGTAAATTGCATGAGGGATGGCTTGAATACATCAAAATGGAGATTGACTGATTGATTGGATGTAGGAAATATGTGCTGACAACTTTTTACGTTCTTAATCAGATTCATAAAACCGTCTATTGAAAAACTTGTGAAGTGTTTATGACATGGTCTTCATTAAAAAAAAAAGTTGTACTCAAATATATAGGGTGACTGATGACTACTGAATCAGCTAGGAATTAGAATAATTTTAAGTATTTGTAAAGGCACTTACGAAACTGTGGCTCGTTGGAAAAATATCTGAGAAAGATATTCTTCTATCAATTAAACTGAAACCTTCTTTCAACTTTGAAAAAACCTAATCAACATTCACAGTAGTATTCTAACAAATGTTGTGCTTTTATGTATTTTGGAGACCTCAGCAGCGTGAACGCCCGCTTTGAATCTCATTGTTTTACCGCTCGTAAGTACATTTTAGCCGTAAATTGCTCAAAATGAACAAAAGAAAAACAATTGAGAAAAGCTGTCTACAAGAGGTACCATTTAAATAGTGAAGTTTGTGCTAATGTTGCAGGTTTTGTTGAAGTTAATTGTTTGCAAAATACGGAATTTTTCTTTTATTTGAATTGAATTTTAATTTAATTGACTCAAAGGTTTTTAGTCAACAGGTGTTGTAACTGTTTGCTCTGTATTAGTTATGGATCACTCTACATAGAATTGGCGAATATCTTTATTGTGACGTTAATTGCTGAGACTGAAGACAATAAATGTTTAAGGGTGCACATACTTTAATCGGTTACATAGATAATTTACTATTGGTCGTAAATGTAGTAGGTTGTATGTATCTTCATAAGGCCATACAATAGATATACTATCTTAGAATAGAATTACTAATGAAAATTTACGCTTATATATATAATTGTCCTGAATAAAATCTGCTGAATGAGAATCAACAAAAAAAACACGTAAGGCTAGTTTCTCAATAATGCAAAATTGAAACGAAAACAAATAGTGTTAGGTTTCGAAAATGGTAGAAAACGAGATATTAATTGAAATATTTCGCAAATAAAGCACCCCAAAATATAATCCAGTATCAAATTTTATTAAATGCAAAGTTGCTTCAAAAAATTCTACTAATTATACCTTTCTTTTACGAATGACATATCAATTCTTTGTGACCCAAACTCCATGACTTCAGCTCAGATATAAAGAAATTCAATAACACAATTGTGAATTAAGCAATAAATTCAAGAAGACAATCAAATTTCACTTGATGACGAATAAACTGACACTGTTCCAGGATTTTATGGTCGAAGCAATTAAACGAAATTGTCCGTCGGAAAACATCGAAAATAACGGAAAATGAGGGATTACTCACGAGCTGAGGCAGGGGTAGACGAACGAAATCCACCGAATAACTGAGCCGCGAAGGGTGCGTGACATGATCGGGAGTTGGAGGAGAACCGACCGCGCAATGTGTGTTACGGTCCGGGAATTACGAAGGCAGATGGAGAAATAAAAATAACCCTCCCGGAACAGGAAATCGGAAGCCACAACAAATAATAAAATGTCCTATTTATAATAAAATTAACGATACAAATGCTACCTCTCCTCAAAGCATGGAAAAAAATGTCGAACATTGAAAAACTCATTGCAGATTGCAGATCAACAATTTTACACTCACAAATTCAGTATTGATAATAATACGTTAAATGTAACCGCAAAAACTGCGCAAATTGATAAATAAAACAAAACCAGCAAAATAGAAACAGAAGGCTATGAAGCGAAGAGAACACAAGCAATCTATTGAACTCAGTGACTCATCAGAATCTGAAACTGGTCACGCATTGATGACTTTTTGGAAAACGAAGCAGTTAATACAAATTCCAGATACACAAAAAAATTGATACATGATGGGGAATGATTTCCACTAATTATATGGCTTTTAGAAGACACATCAACAAATAATTTCGCTCAGAACTTATCTAATCGGGTAAGCTCCAATCATCTTCCTAACATCGACACAATGTTCTTGTCAATTTCCGCACCTACTTGCAGTGGAAATGAATCATTTGAAAACGAGCAAATTAAATGAATGAAGAGGGAGTTAAATTTGATACCATCACAGTGGTGTTAAGCACGCAAGCTAAAATTTTGATATTTTAAAACTTGTATGTTATAGAACATTTGACTGAGTTAAAATTTCAAGGCTCACTCAAAACAGGGCTAATTATAATCGTTCCCAACTCTTAAAACGTACAATTTCCTACGCCCTAATCAAATAAGATGTCTCATGCAGACATTATACGAACGAACTTAGAAGAAACCTTTTAATCAATAAGTTTTTTAGAATCGGTTGTATTCTGCCTATTGCCCAGCACGGCTTAGCAACTGATAAAACAATTTTTTATGTAATTGGTCATTTTGCACTGTTAACGAAATAAGCAAACTTCTTTTGCAGAACTTAGTTCAGGTTCAGAAAACTTGGATTCTTATAATGTGCCCACCTGTGGTTTAACCCTCGTAACTAGTTTCCTTGGTTTTTCCTATAATCCATTCTTCACCTTTAACCTTTTTGAGTCGGTTATGTATCATTTTGCTGCCAAGATCGGTGTACGATTGAAATTCATAATTTCGAAAACTTCGTCTCGGAACGACAGCATTTTCTCGATGCCATAAACATCACTCTATTGGAAAACAAGTGCTTTTTATAACGCACACCGACTCGACTCCTTAAGCTTGTTATATCTTTCGGGCAAACAAAGTAAGACAAACGGCTACATAAATGAATATCAAAGGTAAAACATATGTTCTCTTATTTATACACAAACAAAAAACAAATACATATTTATTTCCAAATTGTTACAAAGATATAATGAAATGAAATTGCGCCAATAAAAAACAAGTTATTCATTTTATATTTATCACATTAAAACAATCTTCGCGTTGGCAAGGTTCCAGACTAATAAGAATAATTTCCTTTCCGATTCTGATGATTTTAATAAAGTTGTGCTCTGGGGCATACTTTTGCAAACTAAAATTTAATTAATATTCAATTTATATTTTTGGTTGTGGCTTTTCTGATTCATCAAAAATTGTTCCAAAAGTAAATGAAGTCGATTAGCTCCATCAATTAAAAACCTGATTAAATTTAAAAAATATAAATTTCATAATTGTTTTGTATAAAAGTATGATACGAAACTGAACTTTAATGACCCCGCAATCAGTTAAACTTATAATTAGTTAAAGGATGTCATTTAAGAAAAAAAATAATTCCCATTTGAACCGTCGTCTTTTTAATTAATCGTCGAAATCTCGGAGAACTAATAATATGTTGTGACTTGAGACCATTTTAGCTGTAACTAGAAACTTTGAAATATTTTACTTGTAAATAGAAAGCCGAAATGGTTATGCAAGATGTAACCCTTTCGTGATATTCTAAATTTTCAACTGCACTTTTGTACGCTTTACTTCTACATTGACTTATTTTAATTCATTTACGATTTGCAAATTCCATCTTGGTATTCGCACTAAATTTTCGTAAAGATATCACTTTCACACACAAAAAATTTATTTTTCAACTTATCGCTCCAATTTCTGCATTTCTTAAATTTAAGATGTATAATGACACATGTAAAAGTTGGGTTTCTGATGTGCACATCTTTAAGTTGGATCATTTTGCTTAAAAGTTGTGATACAAACACAAGTTTTGTGGCACTAGTCCCAGAAGTACCGTCCAAATTCATTTATAATTAACAGTTTTTTTTTTAATTCTTAGAATTGAAAATTTAAATTATAAGGTGCGTTCCTCTGAAAAACTGAAGTTGATGGTTGTAACTTATTTTTGGACCACCCTACACTATAAATAAATCTGGTACAAATAAAAATTTACGGCTCTAAACTTCTGTCCATAAAATGGCCTGCTGATATTTAAATGAATTTAGACATTACCTTCTGGGACCTGGATAATTCCAACCTGTAATGATAACTTTAATCAATTTTGGAAAGATCCTTTAGAAGAGCCAGACTTAAATACGGATCAACTTTTTACGAACAAACGCCACGTAATGCTGAAGTAATATTTGCGAAAGGGCTTGCGTCTCTGTCGGAGACACCCAGTATTTTGTAGCTTCTAAAATTACTCTTTTGCTATGTTCACATCACATTTTTTCACTTCGAGAAATTGACCGGGTGTCTATATTAATTTTATGAAAACCTGCCCCCTTTCATCATATTTGCTGTAACGTAAAATGCGCTTCACGTCTTGTCTTCCGGAACAAAAAAATAGAATGGACGATGAAGAAATTACTCTCGGCATCTCCTATGAACTTGAAACAGTTCGAATCGGGAAATAACGCAGTGTAAGATACTGAGCGGAAGAACTTGGTGTATTTGAAGAATAATAAGAAAATTAAAGAAGTGTCATAAATAGTTGAAGTTTTTTTATATCAGAATTATCGAATAGACGTCGCAAAAGCCACGCTATAAAAAACCTCAATTAATTGCTCAAGTTTTAAACATCAAGCCATGTTTCTCAATGAGTGCAGATGAGTAGTTTTGGACAGGAAAATCGAATTGATTTAGAGCAAAACAATTCATAATATTGTAATGGTGAAGCGTTTGCAAACCTTGATCTTAGATGATATTACTAAAACCAATAGATACATCCGGTCGAAAGTTTGAGAAACGTGACCGAGTTGAAAAAAGATGACTCATCTCCAATGAACTCTTATGACAAGACAAAAAAGCTCGTTGGAACTGCTAAAACCGTCTGGCAAATAGCCGAACAAAAAACCGAACATATGAACTTCTTTTGCCATGCACACAGTTAATTCCGTTTTCCGGGAGCGGTAGAAATATGTGTCATATAAAAAGCAAGGAGAAGTCATCTAAACCGCCAGATGAGCCCCATTATGGCGGGTGGCGGTCGAAATCGATTGGGGTTGTCGGCCGTTGGTGAAGGCACGGCGCCGACTTGGCTCCACATGCAATGACAATCACCACCTGCCGAAGACGACGAAGAAATAGAATACCCGACATTACCGTGAACGTAATAATATACAGAGTACAGCATGATAAAGTGAAATAATTTAAACTGAATATAATTTAGTGATGGAAAAAATCGAATTGTTTGCTTATGGAATTAATTGGATGCCATCGAATAACTTCTAAAAACATCTCGATTTGATTTTGTAATACCATAATGGCTTTCGCATTCGATATGAACATGAGTTGCTTTGTAAGAACACACCAACTTGGCTTTGAAAGAAGAAGGCAAGATAATTAAAATGATTAGGCAGACATTCAACGCAGTAATTTGATACGTTTTTCGCTAAGCTAAAGCTGAACAATTCTAATTAAAAACGAGAGAGAAATCAAATAGACGTTGGAGCAACCAGCATCTCCTTGAACCGGTGGAGCTTACTGATATAAAGAGACATTGCATTTTAGTTCAAGTTGCTTTTTTATGACAAACTTTAAAAATTTGTTTTTGCATAATCCACACGGTACCTAGCCGAGCGTTCGCTTCTAAAAATTGAAATACTAAATAAATCGAGGCAATCACAGTTTGATTTATTGGGTTGAAAATCTCTAATTATGAGAAATATTTTAAAACGGTTAATATATAAAAATACACCCCAGCTGTAGAGAAACTTAAACACTAGCAGAGGACAGCATGGTTGCATAATTAGAAGCATCCACGCAACGAAAAACCAACTACTTTTACCAAACCACCAAATTATATCCATTTTGAGACCGCTAGTCACTAAAATTGAAAAAATCAGGATTCCGGACGATTTCCATGTAACTTTCAGCATCTTTGGGGCCAAAATTTCAAGCCGTTACTTGAGTCAGTTTGAAACAAACATTTTTCTTAAGAAGAGCGCGTTGAGTAAGAACAGTGCCACTATTTTTCGGCAAGACATACATTGATTTTTGTATTTTACAGAAGGAAAAAAATAACGGTTATCTTAATTGTAAAAATCTACGACAATAAAATTTGAACTTTGTCACGGAATATCCTGTGTGTGGTTGGTTCCATATGCTGTGACGAAAATGTGTGTTCATTGTGCTGTAAAGTGCGTGTCATGTGGAAACAGAATTAAATATTAATATGGTATATGTGACTGAAGCGCAATATTTCCGCATTAAGCTCTGATGAAAAACCAGCAGTGGTAAAAAAGTACTTCAAACGCCTTTGCCCATTTAAAAAATAATAAATCTAATCCCATTTGCTGAAATTTTAACTTATTTAATATACAATATGCTACTTTTATAATGAAACTAGCAGATGCGCTATATGAGACTGAAACGTCTGATAAAAACTGTATTATTTGGTGGGAAAAGTTTGCTCCCTAAACAGCTTTTACTTTGTTCGCCCACAACGCAATACTGATGTACAAGCTTGACTATACATACATACGCCTTATAAGAAGTAGATGAAGGAAGTAATGCAGCGAATAATACTTTAATAAGCTGAAACGAAAAATAACGCGAGCGCAGATGTAAATAGTTTTTTTATTGATAGAACGCACTGATCATCATTTTCAGATGTGTTTTTCGACAATTTACCTCTTTAACAATTAGTTTAATTTCATTACATTATAACAGGATTACCAGCTTTCGTCCACGAATTACTAAATATATTACTCAACTTGCCTTATACGGACTCTTCGAAAAAATGATATATCCGAAATATATTACATCTCCTTCAGTTTTAACCCATATCTCATTTAATCGAATTATCGAATCAATCATATTATGATCATTGCTAAAGTGAAAGGCAACCGAGAAAAAGGAGGAAGACACTCGATCTGAGGATATATTCGAAGTATATTATTGATTTAGCGCCGTTTTGGGGCAAACATAAAACATATTTCTCGTATTTGCTGCTTTTCTTTTTTAGAAGCACACCCGATTCCCTAGAGATAGGCATTCTTTGAAAAGAATGTTTTATATAAAATATGTATGGGCCACTCAGAGTGCTTTATATGGGAAAGATGAAATTAGGCTTGACTGATATTAGTTGATGTCGAACGTAAAATCGAATAGAGCGCCGATAAAAATGACTGGTTTGAAATATGATCAACTTGTGAAAAGTGCGAATATTCTGAAGTATGCAAATAATTCTGTATACCTGGCTTGATATATATGTATAAATATATACAAGTGTATTTACATTAATATCGCAACAACGCTAACAGGGATTAGATAATTTCACTAAAAATGGTTTCATAAAATTTCATTAAACATTTTAGAAAGTTTCAGAATACATGTGCGAAACAAGCACAAGCTTTTTCGGTAGCGATCGTTTCCTATTTCATCAAAGGGTGTACTTAGTGTTCGCGTTGCTAATAGTAATAATTGTTACCGTTTGAATGGATGGCTGTAGATATACAAAGTCTTACACAAAGCACACATTTTCAATAGATTGTCGTGGACAGCATTACAAAGTATAAAAAGGATCTAAACAACTTTTTGCCAAAACGGAAATTGGGAAATTCTATAAATTATTCAATCAATCCAGTTAAAAGCCTCGATTCAACCTGCCCTATTTTTTTATAAAAAAATAACCCTCTTCCACCGTCTCGCATAAAAAAATACTTGTATTGGACATCAAAGCAAAATCGCGTAAAATCTGGCTACATCGGTTTAAGTTTTTAGGTCGTTCAGTCGCTTACTTGCTTTTGAGGTTTTAGCGTCTTTATGAAGGTTAGTTTTTGTATTTACAGATGTACGCGACAACAGGAAATTTAAGAAAAACAATAGCACATACTTTCAGAACTAAATTTGCATTGTTCGGTGAAACGTAAATATGCATTGCCAATAATAAGGAAGAAATGACACAATCGTATTAATTTGTATTTTGTTTTTATGTTCAATAAGTTGCTAAAAGTTAGTTTAAACTAACATTAGTTAGTTTTGGTGTAAAAGTTAAGACGCATAATAACTTCGGCAATTACTTAGTAGTTAGTATTCGCTGGAAAAAGATTCTGAATTGAAGTTTTTTAAATTGCAAGACCATCCTGAGATAATCTCTAGAAACTTTCCTTCGACGAATGAAATGAAGTGATGTAGACAATATCTCGTTAATCAACAATTTTCTGGTATTCGTTCCACTCACTGCAACATCTTACTAAATTTTTCAAATATCCTCTTACAACTTCAACTAGGAAATCTTTCGTTTGAAAATTATGCACACTAACTCAATTTAAACATGTTTTCATTATTAATAATAATCACTCACCTCTCTAATTTCCTTAATCTTGCTGCCTCCTTTACCGATGATACATCCAGCTTGACTCTGATGAACCATCATTCGCATATCAATATCGTTTCCGTTTCCAGCCGTTGCTCCATTCTAAACAAATTTCTGAACTTTAATATTCATTTACTTTAAAACTTCTGATAAACATGACATAAATCGTCATTATAGCTATAATTAAAACTTTTAGTGTTTCGGATAAATAAATTTGAAATTTTCTTATCATATATACATAAGATCCAAAGGGTACTAAAAATTAAATACTAAAAAAACGACGTACGTTTAAAGCGGAAGGTCAAGTTAATCTCCAGTCAAACAAGTATAAGATAAATAATTACAAGATTCTAAACTTTGAATAAACTGGGATAAAGTAAATCCAGACAGATTTTCTTTAGGAATTAATTCATTTTAATCTCATGCCACCAATTGAAATTTGTTGAAAACTGGAGCCAGTAAAATATATCGATTGAGAATTTATCACGTGCAGCGAATGCTCTAACTGATGTAATGAAGATAAATGCCTTTCAATTTGTTTGCAGGGGAAAAAGAAAATTACATTTTTGGAATCGTGGTAATTTTATTAGTTTTCCGGCACACGGCATTATTTTAGCAAATATTGCATGCCCACAAATCAAACTTAAAATAAAAAGTATCATTCTAGCAAATCCTAGTTTGAACATTAAGTTAATTTATCTCGATGAAACTTTTTTATATAAGTTCCAGTTGAGACAATCTGCATATTGGCGATGGTGAGAGCTATTTAATAAAATTAAACAGTTTTCAAATTCGAGACTGAAAAGCTCCAACTACTTAAAAATCGACTAGACAGACAAAGGATCAAATTTGACTTCAACAGAAACAAGAGCACCTGTTTTATTTAGCATTTCGTTTCACGTCGTCTCTATGCTTGCTTGTATAGTGTTACTTTATGCCGACGAATCTGTCCAGTGCAACTTAGAAATTTTCAGTTCGCAAAGAGAGCACTAGAAGAGTCCTTCATGCTGTTACACGAGCTTCTATTAAGCACCTAAGTTATCTGCTTTAAGTAAGTTGAAGGAGATTTCTCAGTTCCAGCAACATAAGTGCCCGTAGCGAGCCTACTTTCAAGATTAATTTTAGTAATTCGGTGACACTTTAATAACGATGCTCTTATGTTGTTTAAATCGATCCACGAAAATTGAAACACATGAAACTAAAAACGTATTTATATACCAATAAGAATTTTTATATCGTTTCAAAAAGTGATTTTTTTTATGATTAAAAGGTGTTAAATTTAAACAGCGTTAAAAGAGAAAAATTGAAAACAAAATAGGCTACCCGAGGTGTATGTAATATATCTATATATATTTTAATATAAGGAAGGACCAACTTTCCTAAACTTTAGATAATTATTGGCCCGATGCAAAACAGGAACAAATTTTATTCTATCTAAAGTTACTTTTAATTTTAAGTAATTTAGTTTGGGTACTTGCCTCTTCCAGGTTTGGGATCACATCGTTTACGATATTGCAAAGGCTGTCCATATCTGACGACAGTGTTAACAACCTGTAAAAAGACATAACTAGTATTAAGCTTTGACGAAGTAGTAGTCATCAGCTGATTTATATTATTTTCATCAAGTACAAACCTCAAACTATAATCTCAGACAAGTAAGAGTTATTGAGCAAAGCAGTGGGAAAGAACCGTTTTTCAAAAAGGCAATTAACTTTTGTTTTCAAACGGTATGGGTGATAATTAACAGTGCAGTTTCTTGCCTAATGTTAAAAAAGAATGTTAGGAATACAGCCGTCTGTTTGGCACCCAACAGTTTGGATAGTTACATCCATTAAAGACGCATTATTATAGTGAATATTAGAGAAGAGGTGAAGGACTGCATGGCTTTTCATGGAGGAGAATGAATGGGTTTCATCTGAAGTAGCGTTTTAAAATTGACCGTCAAGATACCGCAAAAGTTATGGTAAATTCAAAACACTTTTCGGCTTGTAGCAGACGGAACAGTATCAACTGACTCTGAAACCTAAAGTGCATTTCAGTTGAATATGTTTTAAGAAATTAGAAAAAATGCTTAATTTGAAAGAAATCTTGAGCTGCAAAACCGAAAAAGATTAGTTTATTATAAATTTGAACAAAAAATTCCGCTTTTAACAATAATCGGTTATTATGTCCTTATATACCATTTGTATGGCCGCTGAAACTGAATTGTAATTGTTGTAGACTAGACTCACTCACTTAATGAAAAGGAAGTGACTTAAATAATGTTTAGAAATCAAGATCATGTTTTATCAACTGATAGCAAGGATGATTGGCTCAGGCTGGTTGCACCGCACCTACATGAACTTTAACAGGCATGAGTTATTGCGTAGCAGTAAAGTTAGGCTTAAATGTCGGGTACTATACTTACATACACATAGTAAGCCTAATTGATACCAGGAAATCTTCTAAAAATACGTGGTGGTTACACAGTAAATTTGAATGTGAATAAAGTCCAGGAATTAAATGGGAAACGTGGATCAAAACTGTGTACTAATAACGTTTCAGTATCATTTACCTCAGGCGACAATACGACAATAATCGGGGCTGATTTAATAATTTATAATTGATACAAAATGTACAGTTTTCACTGTGGCAAAAACAGAATTGAGCAAATATACAATGTAAATGTAAAGCATTAGTTAGTTAATTCAATTCAGTTATTAATCCACACCATTAGAGCAATCCAAATTTTGGAACTGGGATGTTATTCTAGCATTAAGGATTTCGGATCTTCGAAAAGCAGGTTTATTGATGACAAAACGCTCCAAATTAGTAACTTTTAATATGGACGTACTGAATGTACTTCAGAACTCTACAATAAGCCTTTTTACAACATAATTTGGCATTTGAATCATCAGTAAAGCATTGCTTAGATGATATGTAATTTTAGTGGCATCACATTAATTGGTTAAAACCAGAGCATTTAGTATAACTATTATTCCAAAATTAAACAGCGGTTGAAAAATTATCATTATGGCGGCCACTAATAATAATGTATGAGTATCCTGAATTTCATTTCATGACAGTGAGCAGAACAGATACTTGTCTATAGTGACGCACATAAAACTCTCATCCATGAGAAGAACCAGAATGAATGTTTTTTGCCAGAAGTAGAATTAATTAGGTTACATTAAAATTGAACTTTCATAATATTTTTCTGCAATTCAAGTTTATGTCGGTATTACACTACGCACATTTCCCCGATTTATTGGTCAATTATTAAAGGTCATCTTCTTGGCCGTCGCCGACTTTACACTTGAATATTGTTCTCACAATAAATTGATGCAATTTCATAAATTTCATTACGTCAGTTCTGTTGTTTTAAGTTGGAAACGATGTGAAGATGATAGCACAGCAGCCGGATTATTTGCTTATGCCTCCAAAGAAACGACTAATTTCCTTCATTAATTTGTTAAAGTTAACACAATAAAAAGACAAAAATAACCTAAGCGCTCTGTCCGCAATAAATCGTACGATTTATCGATCGCAGTTCGATTCCACGCTTTACGCTCATATCTGGTGAACTTCAATAATTGGTCCATTTTAATGACCAATATGTAAGCACAATTAAGAAAAATGTTTTTAAAGCACTATTTAAAGAGTTTAAAAAATAGGGCTTTATTAAATTTTGATTGCAATAAATATAAATTTTCTAAAAAAAAGTTGGTAAATATAAGAGTTCTCAATAATCAAATAAAATATGTCGGTGCCGTTTCTTGAGTGTTAACACTGTGTTGTCCATAGGCAAAGCAAATATAGTTCTGAAAGAACACCCGCTTGGTTATATTTCTGCCTAAAACACGGAAACCCTTTTTGAAGCAAAAAAAAGATGCACGATGCTTCAATCATACAAAACTTGTACAGTGTTATATCCTTTCAAAACTTCCATTTTCTTGCAGGGTAGGAAATTAATTCTAGGCAAAAAACACGTAAGTTTAGAATCAAGGGGAAGTCTAAAACCGGTGTCGGATGTATATTTCCTTTTTCTTGTCCCAGGAAAATAGCTCCCGAGTTTGTACCACACAATTTGCAAGATTTACTCTGTGCTAAGATTTGATGTATATTTTGAAAGTAAAGTGTCTAATGATTTAGGTAGAAATTTGTCATTTTCGACCGATACAATATCGCAAATTAGGCGTTTCACAAAATATAAAAAAATATAAAAAAAGAAACAAATCGAGACGCAACCATGTAATCTCTTTTGCGCCTTATAATTGAAGCTAATGGGTACAATATCTACTGGGCCGAGCGCCAGGAGTCTAACAAGTGTACCGTTTGGACTTTCTCTATTTTGCTTTGCTTCACTGTACGCATTTTATAATTTGCGACAGCGATCCAGACAAAACAGTTGTTCTGATCACTAGCTCCATTCACTAACTAGATCAGTTCAAAATTACAAGATTGTCGCTACTGTTATCTAATTGATTAATTCCTGACAGTATTTTGCAGATATATAAGCGCTATCAAACGGATTGCAAAAGTTAGCAATATAGAGCAACAATAATAAATATATTATTTTTTACGCATGTGGGTAGTCGTACGTGAGATAAGTCATGCCGCCGCGCGCCCGATTTATCTAGATATGTAAATGTGTATGAAAAAATACTTAATTAGGTACTTTTCAATTTGCTTTTCATAGGCATTTTAGACAGTTTCCCAACTCTAAAACTAGCTATACAGGGTGTTCTATAATATAATATACAAACTATTTTTTTCTAAACTTTTACAAACTTTATCAGTTTGTATACCTATAGAAAATACTCATTCTTTGACATTTGTTTATAAAGCAAAGCGTCTTGATGTCCCCTCCTACCACCGTGAATGCAAACTTGTATAGAAAAGAACTTGGACCTGTCCAAGAAGAACCATCTAAATAAATTGGTAATATGCTTAAATATTTAAGCAGGTTTATAAATTTCTTCGAAATTTGAAGAAAAAATTCCTCTCAATAACGAAATGGAGTTCATTTATCACAGACTTAGAACGAACACTGAACCTTACATGCACCTGTGTAGGTAAAATAAAAGAAAATGATAATGACATTTTAATTCCCAGTACGCGATTGTGCATGCTGTAGCAAATTAAGAGAACAATCAAAATTGACCTTTGTGAAATCTAATAGAAGTGTGTTTATCGGGCAACTTTTCCAGTTCGAAACCCAACAAAGGAATTGCCCTCTTGGCATAACTGAGGGAAAAAGTGCTGAAAATAAAAGCTGCAAATAGATGAGCCTCAAAGTCTCGGGAACTAGTCTCAATTTTAGGTTGATGAATTGATATCGTAACGTATCGACGTAAGCCATTGCATTTTGAGAAAACTTCGCAGGGCATGAGTGAAATACTTGAGGAAATTACTTCTTGAACTGCCATTCCTCTATGTTTTCTTTGTGCAAACTTATACATGAGAAATACAGGGTAATTCAAAATTGGCGTCATATTTCAGAGTTACGTAAACATTTTTTGGAGGATGATTAAAAAATGGAACTCTGAATTGTTCTCACCTAGTCAGTAACAAATCTATAGCTCCATTCACAAATGATCCTCGTTTTCACATTTGTTTATAAAAAACCAACCAGTGAGTTTGACTGAAAAGCATTGTTGCCATATTTATAATTACGTTTTTTGCCAATATCTCAAATATCTGTGAGAATTTACTGTTTTTATGTACTCCCCACGGTATCTCTAAAGGAACGAGGCCAATTTTTAATCATTCTGGATATAGCAACTTTCTCGGTGGGTCGTCTAATCAATATCCGGTTATCTGATTTTGGAAAGGCGGTTTACCAGTTAATCCCAATTTTTTAGAACTAATAGGTTCCAAACCCCTTGCGGTGTTGATGTAGATATCACGCTACAGAATAGTCCTTATTTTTGAAAATACCGCATTATTGTCTTGCTTTGTGGACATTCCAAAATACTGATTGTAAAGTGACTAATTCTGCATTATGAGTATGATAAAAACTGTCAAACGCCAATCACTGGCAACAGCCCAGATTGCTAGTTCTGATAGAGTGCTCTTTTCTTTCGCCTCACGATGACCTGGACATTAGCGTTTGTTTGGTCTGAGTACTCGATATATAGTAACCAGAAATTATCCGCTCTAAAAAAAGACACTTTCAATACAGATATATATTATTACAGTGGCCAACCTATGGATGAAATTGGGGATAAGCTGAAAAAAATGGAATACTGATAGGCAGTGCAACCAGAGCCGTAGTGAAAACAATTATAAAAAGACAGTAGTAGTGTTGGACATTTACCGTTCAGGGCCCGGACAATCGGGGACAGTAATCGAGGCTTTGTACTGTTCGGGTGGACGGTTCAGTTTCATTTTCGTGGTGATGGCAGATGGCAGTAGTGTGGTAACCGCGCACAACAAAATGGGCGGGCAACGATGGGCAGTGGGCGGGCCATGGGGGATAGAACACATTAGTTAACATACTCTATATGAGGCCCGAGCACAGTGACTTAGCTCTCGTGTCTTTTTGGATGTGTGCGCTTACTTTTCAATGGTATCAAATAAAGCACTATTTGAGACAACTTTTTGCAATTACATCGGAAACAACTTGAGAATATGTACAGGAAGTTGTTGCCTTTTTCTAAATAATATACTGGAACACCAATGTTCAATTGCAAATTATTATTTCGAATGAAAGCTCCAAAACCATGTTACCTAGCAAGGCAGATTGTACAGCTCCATTGTTATTAATCTTGTCTCTAATAGCGCCTATTATCATACACACAAACACTAAAAGTAACTTGCAATGTGATCATGATCTCTGAGGTGGTGGTTACACAGGGTTGCAAGCGCCATCAAGGTAATTCCAAGGTTTCACATCGCTGTTTACTTAGCGGCCTTTAGACTCCCTAAACTATTATTCAGCAATGAATTAAAAAATATTTAGTATTTACCAGCGAAGGCTAACTAAACCAAACTGAGTATTTGTACACACAATCCAAAAGACACAAGATATTATCCGTCAAGGTGGGCATCAAATATTGCGCTAAAAACTAAAAAAACTAGAAATAAAGAAAATTAGGTATATTAAAAAGTGTACACAAAATCACATTAGGGTACTCTATATTGCAGATTTTGTTTTTGCTCAAGCAAAAAATCCTAGATCAGGTACTGGCTTTTAAAATATTGGCATGAAATAGCGAAATCTGCAATAACGATCATTAACACTACACACAGCATTCATTTGCAAAACATATCATAGCTTTCATGAGCTTGATAACTTGGGATGATGATCAAGATATTTCACTTTGTCAAAAATAATGCAAATGATGCAAAAGTCCTAACTAAAACCAGAAAATGTTAAAAAAAAAATAGAATAGAAATTTTATGGGTTTTAGAAGGAATTTTAATACTATTTAAGTTAACTGGTTATTCAAGGTTAGAGCTGCAGATGTACCAAAAATATTGAAACACTTAGAATCGCACTTGTTAAAAGCTACAGAAGATATAGTATGGATATTGAAACATCTCGCGTTAAAAACTCAAATCAACCACAATCTCAGTATCGGATTTTTCACTTATATTGACTCGTAACATCAATTAATTTTAAATAATAAAAACTAAATCGAAAGGTGTAAAAGTCGGTAATAAAATTGTATAATATCCACACCACATACTATTGCCTGGAAACGTTTTTGATTTTCACTTTCTTCGTAGAATACTGACCTGGCTCCTTAACTTTGTGATATTGTGCCCTCCTTTGCCAATGATCGAACCGGCAACCTACGATCAACAACAATTATATATTAATGATCAGTTAATTCAAGAAATGTGTATGATTTAAATCTTAAAAAGTTTCTAGTATTTAACAGAAATACTCAAATTCCCCTACTTTTCTAATCATTAAAGATGCCATTAATACTTCAGATTAAGAAGGAATTTATGAAAAAAAGTACATTATTTACGCAATTTATGATGCAGTACTCATAATACGATAAATGTGTATGGAAAATACAGATGCATCTGCTATGTGTAGTGGTGTCGAATGCGCATGGGCTTTTAAGTGTTATTTGCGGTGTTGCACCATGAGACGCGAGGTGTTATAACGCATTGACGCAGAGCGGCATCAACACCAAAGCAACACAACACACTGTTACCCAGACCAAACATGTAGTGTGTACATAACATTTCTCACGAACGGTCATTCCACATTAATGTTCCTCTTAGCGTAAACTGGACAATCATCACGAAATTTTCCACAGATAAATGGCTTTTGAAATCAAATTTATATATTGACTTATTATAAATCGGCCGCATATCATAACGAAACTAATGGCCTATTATCATATTGCGTTCTTTTACTGTTAATAAACTAGTCATCATTTACATGATCGGCTTGGCAAATATACCATGAAGAACATTGAGAATCTGGGCAAATATTCCCCAATTAGGCGTACTTCTGCTTTATGTTTCTCCCGTTTCCCGTGAAAGAAGCGCAAGTAGCAGAGCTAAATGCGGCTAATGTTCCATGTCCTGTTGAATTATAATAGATTTGTACATTGCTATATACTATGTTAATATTTGCATGCCTATTGAATCGTAGTTTACTGGAAAAAATCTTATTCAGCAATTATACTTTAATACTGAATCTATTGGAAAGGGCTGGCATAAATTACAGTTGCATAAGTTAGCCATTTTTATTTCTATAACTGAATTATTCAATCTGCTAGCAAACGTCTAAACAAAAGTTTAAGTTTGTCGTGAGACTTGCCGACAAATTATGGTTCAAACTTTCGTTATTAAACATTTTTCCTACAGCTGGGCTAATTATAACTTCATAAATTAAACGTCATTAGCAAAGTTTAAAGTCGGTTAAAGCGGTTAACGGTGGAGACCTTCACCCTTATTTAATATTAAATTGATGTCAATATTAAAATACCATCATGTTATTAAATAGATGATCTCACTTGAGAAAATGACAATACATGCACTCAAATCATGATATTCATCAACAAGTATTTCCAATAGCTGAATAATACGTAATACGTTTCAAATAGCTTGTTTTCCTAAGTTTCTACATGAATGCAAAATCAGCGTTCAAAATCAAAAGTGTTCGACCAACTGAGTTAAAATTTGGTGAGGGAACAATTGCGATTTTATCAAATCCGAATAAAATAAATTCAAGCGATTCCATGTTTCACCAAACAGTTCTTCCACAATTAATTCAACTAGTGTCTGATTTTTGTTACGTATTGCTTCAATTACTGGACTATTCGTAATTATTCGTTTCCGTCGTTCTTTCCAAATCAGTTTCTTACCTACCCGTCTTATTTCGTTTCAATTTTCACTTAATCTCCTAATGGTTTCCTCTCTTGGCAGACCCGTAGCTAAAAGATCGTCTTAATTTCTCATTCTTAGACGTCTATCTATTCTAATCTTCTTTCAGTTCCTTCAGTGCTTCTTGCATGGCAATCAAATTTTCCTTGCGCGGGCCCTTTTTTGTTTTGCATTTTTTCCATCCTTCTAAACTCCTTTCTTCTTTTTACCCGCTGTTTGCATGCTTTTTACTCGCTGCATAATATAAATAATTTGCAAAAAATATTAAGTATACTGAACATTTTTTTCATAAATCATTTCAATTCTGCAGCACAATAGAATTGAAAAATTGTGATTCTGTCTAGATCAAGATACAATACAATTTATATAATTTTTTCGGCGGACAGAAAGGACATAAATTTGCAAAAAATTATGATATTTTATTTCACTAAAGGCAAACAGGTTAAGTTTATTTTAAGTCAGTAATTTACTCGAAATAGATTCTACATTTCCCGTTGAATAGTTTTATGCATATACAGCACTATAAATTGAGCAGGCTGTTGTGACAGTAAATTTATTAATAAACTTTTTGCAAAAATTATGCAAACGATTCTTATTTTAACAGAAAACCTTTCATTTATTATTCGTATTTCATTATTAATTAATAATTATTCGGTTACCACCCATTATGAATAAATCACAGCAAAATATAGGATCGTCTCCAAATTCTAAACCGGTATATTTTGCCTTATTTATGTTTTATTTTAATGCGGCTTCACAGTTTTTGATGTTTTATGTAACATTTAAAGTGCTTCTCAATGTGATAAATATTTCCAGTTTTTGGTTACGGAAACTAGGTCAGTAAACCTTATGGCCAATATTGGAATAGGTAATGATTGGACAATATTCAGTTGAAACATTTTCTATTGCACGCTATAATCGCACCGTTTAATCAACAGTTGTCTTTGTTTCATTTACAGTCATTTAAATATGAATAGATAGTGTAATGAGGAAATAGATGCCTAATTTTATTTGCAATGAGCAGAAGAACTTCTAATGTCCACGACAAATTGACAATGCAGATTTATAATGTATCAATTAAACAAAAAGCCCCCAAAATTCAAACAAAAAACATTCTGTAGATTTCGGTTAAATGATTCGTCGGATGTTTATAGCTTCAAACGATAATTCTTTTAAATGCTTTGGAACTACATTACTCGACGAATATCCATCCAATGCTTATATTAGCGATGCGCGTCTCATGATCAAGTAATGTGAAATAACATCACTTTTAATTAATATTTATTAATTTAGATTCTCTTGGAACAAAAGAATACACATAATAAATAAATAAACCCCATTCCGTGCGTGCAACGTTTGGAGAATAAATAAACTCAAATTACAGATAAATAAAGCAAGCTTTACCTGTGATTCTAGTCTTTCTTAAGGCTGATATTTAGTATGAGACATAGGCATTGTAAAATTGAGCTAAAATAACAGACACAAATTCAGCCTAACAGCAATTACGGTTCGGCTTATGAGACCTTTGTGGCTCACCAATGACAATTAATTTAATAAATTGTAAACAAAGGGAGTAGAATCCATCAACGTCGCTGTTTGGAGATTAAAAAAGAAAAAACTTGCATATAGAACCAATTTTTGTCGACAGAAAACGCAGGAAAGTCTAAAATCTTCCACATTGAATGGATGTATATTGTTGAAAGTGACATAAAACGAATGAGTTCAGTGTAGTTTTCATTTGCCCATTCCATTCTAAAGACTTATAATAAATCGGAAGCATTCCAAAGCATGGTCAAGAAAATTCCAGAATTACATACTGAAGAGAAAATACACGACATTTCAATGAGATGAAGTTGCGAACTAATAAACTTCCTTTTAACTCACTAGAAGAACTTTATTCAAATGGAGGGAATTAGAAAGTTAAAAACATTACTACTGAAAAAGAGCAACACAATGCTACAAGATTCTAAAACTGAATTGTGATTAGATTTGAACTAAAGTTATTCCAAAATAGGTTAACCACATGGTAAGAACCCTTGTTGATAATACTCATACGCCATAAATTAAGGTTTTCGTTGCTCTTTGCAAGAACAGTTTTAAGCACTTTTCGCTGGCAACAAAGGTGGGTCTTAACCACTGAAAATAAAACAATTACCATCAAATAATGAACGGTAGAAGTTCGCATCTACAGCTAGCAGCAAAAGAAGTTAACAATTTTCCACGACATAAAATTTCGTTGAAAAACAACACAAATAGTTTGCTTTCAGAAGAATGTACAATGGTACAGAAAAATACTTTATAGTATAGTAAAATACAGCCAGACTTTCATCCTTCCAATATTAAACTTTTCGAATTTAATGACCGCCACGTCGAGTTTTTCCATAATCAAATAATTCGATATTTCGCATCACTATAGAATATAACGAATACGGTGAACAGCACCCCACTCACTTCCCATGAGAATTCTTCCGAGAACGATATTTTAACTTCAGCGGCTAACACAAGAAAGATGGAATCAAATAAACTAACACCGGACCAGTTTTGATCGATTACTTGCTTAAAAGACTTCTTTCTTTAGATATCGTCTATTAGATGTGTTCATTCTACTTGACAAAGTAATGCTGCTCTATGGCAGGTCCATCAGCTTGTATTTCCGAGAACGATGACTTATATAAAATGAAAGAAATACGGAATAAAGTGCATCCTTGGGTAAGAAGCATTATTGGAAATATTTTCCACTGTACGGAGTTTTGTTAGCCAGCACAACACATCGAATTTATAAATATGTGGATGTACGTACCTTACTAGGAATAAGTAAGCGTACTTCTTCATCTCCCGCTCTTTTGGAGCGTTTCAGTGGGCTGCCCATGTCGCCGTCAGCTCCTCGCTTCATGGCTAGATTGATAGCTAGAAAGATATTAAACAATTAAAAACAATAAATACAAAGCATTTTTTGGAAATAAAATGTAAGTAGTCAAAAAACAATATTCAACTTTAGTAATCCTTAAAGCGCAATTCATCAAATGATTCGTCAGGTAATAATTGACATTGCTCATATTTAATTAGGAGAATGAAAAGTATTTCCTAGATTGTGCATATAAATACACTTATGCATAACTAATTGAGGTTAACTAGTTTATAATATTTAGTGCAAAGAATACCACTACTAGTTATGTAATAGAGCAATTATTACTTAAAGACAAACAGGTCGGTAATTTGCGTATCAAGACGTAGTAAAGAGTAATTTCAGATGTAAGTAGCACACCAATAAATAAACCATTAACAATTAAATATACATAAAATGGAAATATTGGATTAAAACTTACTAATTCTAGGTATAGTGCAAAGAATTTCACACTTTTGGTGAAACCTTCTAACCCGGTTAACGGCAAGGTCATAGTTACGTGAAACCAGAATATAATTAACATAACTTTAATTCTCAGGTCGCAAACAATCAATCGTTCGTCGCAATTCTCTGAGTTTAGCATTTTCCTTGTTTTTTTTTTTATTTTTCTTCACCGAAGTAAAAGCAATTCATTTTTTCTTTCAACTATCTTATAGCACCAATGATGACAAAGCATTAAGGTTAAAAGCCATCATTAGCAACAGTTTGCGAAACGTTCTCATTATAGATTCAATGCTTACATTATTTAAATATCACCATTGAAAAGACAACACAGACAAACAAAAATGTTCGGAGAAAGTTTGCCAAGCAGATCATAAACATTCCGAATTTTGGTCGTCATATACATTTTAAGTGTCTGTAAATAAACGCAGTGATTTCAAATTGAATCCATAAATACACTTGCAAACTTTCTTCATTTCTACTTCGATATGCGATCAACCAGGCACGTTAGGCCTATTTAAAGCGTGCCGATCTAAGTTTTTTTGGCACGCACAACTTTTCCGAACGTATTACTTCTTTGTAAAATCAATAACAGAGTTTCTGTTAGACCTGGAAATATGTGAAACACTCAGTTTAGCAAAATCGGTTATTCACTTTCCTCAAAAGATTACACTTTGATCAAATTGTTTATCATCGAATCAACAGACACTCAATTTTCAATTTTCTGTCGATCAAAAATCTGAAATGACAAAAACCTTCTGAAAAGCTTTTTGAAAAACGTGCTTGAAGACAACAGTTCAATAAGGAATAAAAAGTGACGAATTAGATGATTGCGTGTCGCGATGCAGGTTTAGAATCCCAATAAAAAAAAACATATTTGGCCGATGTAAAACTTATTTATTGGTGCATTAGAACATATTTCAAGTTAGCTTGTTACTGTATAATCAGTAATATGATGGGCAATTTCATCAGGTTTTAAAAAATTAATAATGGTCTAAAATACATGGAAATAATTGGTCCAGTTAATTTCCTATGAACGACATTTATAGCGACACTAATATAGCAATACACTCCCACCAAATAATTACGTAATTGCAATAATTCAGAACGATTTTGTTCAAAATTCGAACTTTTGGTTAATCAACAGTGATCTGATAAAGTGATTTCGTAGTTAATGACCAAATTTACGTCGAGCACATGATTTGTATTAGTAACAAAGTAAACGTTTGCCAAATGTAATTAATTGAACTGAGTTTCCACCACTTATATATATAACAAATAATCAGTCAAACATAACATAAACAATCAGCAAAAAAACTAACAATAGAAACATAGGATATTTGACAAGTTTAACGCCTACACACCTATTTACATTTCATACCATGTGGAACCAATTACAGAAGCAAGCGCGACGAATTAGATAAAATAATTAAACATTTTAAATATCCATTGCAAGCCAAAACACTAGAAGATGTATACAATGGATAATTGGTTTATAAAGACGTTCTGGCAATTACACGTATTATTTACTGGCAGTGGCTGGACAAATAGCTACTTTAGCAAAATTGGGATAATCAGATAGACGTTTAACGGCGCAGAACCGTGTTTCAACAATGGATTATTATTACTGAGGAAATGTTGCACGGCTAATAGAGAAATCATTGTTGAATGAATCGTTTCTTTGGCGGAAAATATGGTTAACTAATACCTCCTTCCGAATGATCTATTTATTACGTACTTTAACGCTTTCATTGAGATTTCTTGTGAAATAATGCAGAAACAATACGGTTTTTTGAAGTGATAAAAGAGCAAGGTATAACAAGAAAATAAAATGAATAGTCGGCATCTCTGTTTACAGAAATATTACTATTCATGTAAAATGATACAAAACATGCGCCTAATAAAAACATTTTAAAGCTCACGATCATGAGATCTGGTAATAATGGTTTTTGGGATTAGTAACAAAGATTTTTCCATACAATATTAAAACTCATTAACAAGAAACCTGATTTGATTGATTAATTAAAAACGTTTAAATATTCGTTAAACAGAAAACACGTGTGGTAAAATCAGTTCATTTCTACATAGTTTGACGATCTGATCCGATTCGATAAACATTTTTAATAAAGTGAACAGCAAAATACAAGAAATCGTAATCACAGTCAATCAAGGGGAAATACTTCCTTAACGATTAACATCCGAAAAATATTACTTGTTTGAAGTGTAAGAACAACAATCTTACTAAGAGTGTTGGACACAAAACTCAGAAACAGAAATAATCAAAGTATATTAAGACGGTGGAAGGACTTTTATAGGGATGCTACCGTAATGTTAATCCACTAAGCGCAAACCCAAACTTGCTTAAGATAAAGTTGGGATTGGAATTTCCAAGTTTATTTAGATAGGCCTATAGGGATCTAAAGGTAATCAATAATCCTTTGTGTATTATGACCGAACTTACAATGACAACAAACGCAATGCTAAATTAGTGGGATTGATGAGTTGTAGTGATATTATCAACAAAAGTTTCATTTTGCTTGAGTAAATTGCTTTCACGACAGAGTAGCTTAATTCGGGGAATCAACAAAGGCATTGTTACAGAATTCCACAGGATTTCAAAGTGATTAACAGTTTCAGTTTCTATTTTAGTTGTGTATTCACACAGTAGTAATGCAATATTGTTACAAAAATGTATTTCTATTTAATAAATGAGAGTAAATGTAAATGTTTTAAATAACAATAAATTAGTCAAGTATAGTAGTATTTATAATCACCATCCGTGTATTTCCATAAAAAAATTAAAATATTCTACAGTGGTTGCTACTAGATTCGAGAAACCTGTCAAAATACAAAATATTCTTGAATTTTGTTCTTCAGAAATCCAGCAAAACCAGAAAAATATGGATTATTGCGCCAAATAAAACACTGTCGGTATATCTTGTTCTATAGATAAACATCTATAGAACTAATCCCTACTCATAAAAGATGCCGTTATCGCTTACTTATTTTGTTCACCGTCATTAAATGAGATAAATTTCATGTTGCTTTTCACGCCGTCGTGAAACGCGTTTTTTTCATATATCTAGATAATGATATGAGACAATGATTCTCAAGTCTGTTATCTGCAAAACGGAAAAAAATGATTGAAAACTGTTAATCTAATAAAGGTCTAAAGAATAAATTAAATACACGATTAACAGGCCAGAACTATTACTAGTAGCCTTCATAAATATTCTCAAAAATGTGCAAAACGGTTCATTCTTTTATAAAGCGTTGATATTATTTGCAGCAGAAGTTGAAATTTGAGGTTCCAGGTAAAACATGCTCAAAGTTTAACGGAAAATAACAATTGAAGTAAATAGGTTTTATGGAAGTTTCATATTATAAGTTATGTCAGGCTAGTTTGAAATATAGCTAATTATAATACGAATAATTACTAAAACTGCAATGTTCATTTTTATAAAAAAAAACAGATAAACCAAAATGTTGGACGTTTTTGCAATCGAGCCAATGAGTGCAATGAACTGATTTTCTTACAATTTGATAAGTCCTGCAGCGTTTTATCTTCCAAAGTAGCGTTGCTCTGGATGTTAATATACTTGTTTATCAAACAAGAACCAGAATCAATTCAAAAATAATTCCTTAGACGTCAACTATTGCAGCAAACGATTTGCTTAGCGTTTCTGCACAGGTGGTACATGTTGTAAAAAAGACTCTTTTATATGTTATTATTGAGAATCTATGATGAAGCTTTTATAAACGATGAACCAGATGACAGAATGTTAGGGTTTAGCATCACATGTCTTAAGACTAAAATACATATTATATTGGGCATACTGGTTGCATAAATAGTGAAAATTTGAAGCCAATAACAGTTCCCCGTGAATGTAACACAAACAGTAGTAAAAACATGAATTAATTTTGTTGAAGATATCTTTATCCAATCTACAAAACATCTTTAATTGGCAAATTATACAAACGCGTACAGCTGACAAACATCTGTCTGTCGTGAGTCGTTTTTAAATTTAATAAATTACCAAGAATGTTGAAGCCGTATTTATTAAACATCAAACTGATATATTATTTCACTGTAGTTTTTATATGTATTTGTTGTTCTGTTATCGAACTCAAGCTTGTTAATTTTTGCTTTCTGGTATATTTTAATGTTTGTCTAACGAGCAACCATTGGCGACCTGCACAATAAAATATCATGACCATCATAAAAAAGTGTCTGGTCAAAATAGGTCAAAAAAGTATATCGTTAATGTTAAAAGAACATGTGTAATTGCAATGATATTGTCATTTCATAAAATAAGGCGCTGAAGAAAAGCTATAGACCAAATCAATCAAGCACAAAAGAAGTGATTTAAGCCAAAACAGTTACGAAGTTCTTCTTTTATTTGATGTAAGACTTTTCTGGTGGGTTTCGCTCCTTTGTGTTGATAAGTTGCATCTGATCTTATTTCTAATTGTGAAAATAAGAAGTCATTTCAGAATCGTCTGCCAAGACTTTGAAGGTTTTTGATTTCCTCATCAAACTTGACCCGAACTTGAAATTATACCCATACATTTTCTGTATAAGTAGTAATTGACTGTGGCAATTTCATGACGACAAAGGACGACAATAGACGTTTGATCATAAATGTGGCCTGTTTGGGTCGGCTGCCTATAGATGCCTATTTCTAATTGCTGGTTTACAATGGAAACTTTAAGAGCGCGAAACTTATATTTTTTATATAAGTTTTTATAGCTGACGTTGAAGTCGTTATTGATTTTGTCGATGAGTATCAAAATAACAGCGTCTGTCTCATTTTATCTTGTTATATCATCATCAAGTAAGATGTAAATTTCAGTTATACTCCCTAGTCATTTATTCGCATCTTATGTTGATCGCTGTAGATATATTATTTTGTTGTGTACTTGACTGTGTTCTTTTCCTCTTTAGAAGCCCTGAGATTGCTACAAGATCAGTTGATTTGAGTTTCACTTTCAGTTTCAAACATTATTTACCCATTTTTCAATTGACAAAGAAATACAGCATACTGCTGCTGTTTGCTGATAATTTTTTTTGACTGTGGCAATAGCAAGAACTGATCCAAAATCCCGCAGTATACCACAGAAAAAATCACAAATATGAAACGATCCTTTGCTTTCATCACTTGATATAATAAAGCAGGTTGGAATGGTCAAAATGGTCGGTCGACTTTGCTAAATTGGCCTTGCTTTAAAGCGATCCATTTGAATAAGAACAGCTTTTTATGAGAGCTGTGAATCGATATTCAAAAGCGATAAAATAAGAATTTTAATCAATTGGTGTCTGAATTTAGACGATCAGATTCTATATTTAGTACGCACTGCCCAAGGAAATTATTATTTGTAATATAAAATATGCTGAACTTGAACAGCAAAATTTTCGGTTTTTTAAATTGATCAAAAACTTAATTGTTCATATATTAACCAATTAAAAAAAGCTATAATTACTACAAGCTATGGTTTGAACAAACTTACGTTAAAAGCAGACAGCAACAAAAAAAAACCATCGAAAAAGACAAATTTAATTATAAGAGGTATTTAACAAAACAGACCAATTTGTAATGTTGGCCCATTAGAAGTATGTAATTAACTAACTAGCCATTTCCGTGTTCTTAAATCGAAATATTCCATTGAAACAAATATATTTATATATTCAGTAAAAGTAACGCAGAAACAAGCAATAAACCTACTTTTTTGCTGTCCTAATTGTACATACTAATCGATGCCAAACATAAATTTTCAATAAGACTTTTTAAAAATTAACAAGCATTTGAAAACTGGTAAGTAAGTAAATGTATTTGAATATTACATTAGAAAGTATGTGGTGGCCTTTCACACTACTTGATAAGCACATATTTACTTTGTTTGCTTAAAATTCGTTAGGGACTTATCAGGGTTGTGACTTCGTTTACATGACTCTGGAAACTGCCGTTGAGTTTCTTGATCCCTTCGTAAATTAATTAAAATATAATGTTCAAAATTTGAATTTCCTGAATACGGTTTTCTCTCAGTTTGCGTTACTGGAATGAGAAAAGTGCAAAGAAAATTAATGAATGAAAGAAAAAAATGTAATGCAACCAAACACGTGAGTACGATACGCATTAAATGTAATTTCAAATGGAACGATTGTCATAATTCAATTCTAAATTTGCTATCAGTATATTTCGCCATTTTGTTGTTTATCACAAATCGCTATACTATAAGGAGGCAGGTGATTAAGACCAACATTATCAAGTCAGATGGATTATTCATTTGTTTGAACTTTAATCGAAGGGCGTACTTGGATGCATAAATTGAACGTGCCTATACTTTACCTAAAAAACTAGAAGTAAGAATCCAAATTTGTGCGTCCACTAGGTAGAAGGTATAACTAATGAGCGTCACTTGAGCGAAAAGGGTGATTAACCTCGAACTCACAGTACCGCGTTATTGTTAGAAATTGCAAAGTAACTTTGTCCCACCACGTTCAATGTAACTACACGACTAACTGAAACAAACTGAACCAAACTAACGTACTCAACGCTAACGTGCAACTCGAACTTTGCCTTGATATAAACTGGTTAAGATTATCCGAATAGCATGGACGACTCTGGCTTGCTACGTTTACACTAGAAGGCACCTCATCACATTTTGCGGTAAGAAATGAAAACTTGTTTGTACCTGGTCTGAGAAACTACCTGGCGTTGGTCGTTAGACTGTAGGTAAAATGCAATTCCTCTGTCAACACCATTAGAACATTGACTTGCCTTGTAGTATGCTTGGAAGTCTGCATTTCTTCATTCAGTTTACCTAAATATTTTCCATATAACTCCTGTATGCATTTGGGAACTTTTGGAAACAATGTGCACCTCGTGATAAGATAGGTGATTTTAATTCAAAGAATTCTTATACAGCAACAAAATTGTTTTTTCTTTAGCATACCATGGCCACTAGTAGGCTTTAGTTGACTAACTTCGAAGCCCAAAATCAAAGGGGTTCCAGAAAAAAAGCGCCATCCGATTTCGTTATACTACTTTTTTGAGTTCGTATACCCAAACCTATTTTTGAATACCCTGTATAATTTCTTCATGCTGAAATATACCTATGCCTTTCCTGTAATAACAACTTTAACATAGTTAGCAAAATAATTCATAGTTTTACTACTTGGCATATCAGAGGGTTATGACCCCGTCACATGAAATATAAGCCAACCAACTTAGTCGGAATTAATTGGACTTTCCAAAAATAAATGTAGCTAAAACAATTTCACATATTGATAAAAATATGGACGAACTGCTATAGGCTAGAAGTAAACGAAGTTATATCAGTGATAGCCAGTTTAAAATGCGAACTTGAGGTTTAACAAAGGTTTGCAGATTTTATTGTTCTTGCTTGTAAGTGCTTGCTCAAGGCCCTTCGAATCAATAGACATCTTTTCAATACGCAAAGAACCGGATTGAATGTTCTTAATGCACGTTTTATTTAGGTAGCCACATGTTCAAGAGCGAAATGCAGGAAAGAACACATTTCGCTTCTTCCTATGGTCCATGCATTTAAACATTCATATAACGTCTGGGTTCTAGTATGGAAAACCGCATTTTATCTCGAAAAGCGCAAGTAAAATTATAATATAATATATATAAACATAACGAGTATTAAAAAATTCAAAGTTTGCTTGCCATTCGACCTGAGACGTTAATCAATGGCGTTGGCAATATTGTCTCATGTTCAGCTCATAAATTGAGGAATACGGTAATAAACATTAAAAAAACAGTAACTCCTATAATTGGAAGTTTATGAAATGTAAAAGTTAATCACCTCTTCAGTAAAATACCTTCATATATATTCAGTTTCAGTATGTACGTAACCAAGGGGGGCTCAAAAGCGTGGATTCTGTAATACAATAGGAATAAAAGGCATTGATTTGTTTTTTATTTTGAAGTCGCTTTGAATATTATGTATATTTAACCTTATGACAGTATTTAAAACTTCAGTTTTATCTCTTGTATTATCACACGGGTAGAATTAATTATAATGTCTAACTAGCTGACCAGAGACATTTTTCCAAAATAGTATGCTGCCAACGCAATATCGTTAATCATCTTCACCCGGTAAGTAGTAAACCTAAATTCCACTGAGCTGAAAATGTATTGATATAATATGCATACATCTGTTTGTAAGTGTATTGCTATACTTCATTCGTGGGCCTGTTATATAATAATTCGGTAAAACAATAAAAGAAGCGAAAAAGTAGGTAAATTGGAACCTGTGGTTCTAATATGGGATATGTGTAAGAATCAATTATATTGCCAAGGTTAACTAATATATCCATATAAAGGTATTATCTAATCAGCATTGACCTTTTATAAATGTTTATTAGCTAACATAAGTATCTACCGAATGGAAGTTTCTAATTATTTAAGGATTTGGCAATTTACATAAGCATCTTTAAATGCAAAAATGCAAACAAAGTATTTTCGCCAATTTGTAAATCAAGATGATGTTGCTAATAATGTATGTCATTTATTTATTGAAGGTGTTATTACATTCTCCAAATCCGAATGAGATGCGCTCAAATTGATAGGAAAGTTGAATAGACATGGTTCATCGACTTAAAAAATCAAAATTCAATATTTTTCTGTGTATTAACTATGAACATTTTAAATATTCCACCTGAAATCATGACAAATTGTATTCAGAGTCGCAAGCATGAATCAATAACAGCAAATTCTATAGCAGTCTGAGACTTTAATTGGCAATTTTTCTATGCGACATAAACACTGCTCTGTTTGAAGTGTTCGTTTCTTTCATTCAATAAAATTATATCACCAGATTCTTACAAATCAAGTGGGCTTCAAAAATAGTCTAAGTCTCATGAATATTAATTAATTCTGCGTGGGTTAGTTATAGTATTATTCGTTCGGGACTTCTGGCCTTGTCCTTCTGAACTATATTTCATGAAACTGTATCAGATTGAATAATATATACCATTGCCTTAAAAAATGGCTGAAACATAATGTTGTGAGTCGAAATTAACTTATTGGGTATGAGTTGAGGTTGAGAGTAACCAGACCTATTTAATCTTATGACTAACTAATGGAAAGTGAAATTGTCTCCGACGGAAAGTTTTCGTGCCTACTGACTGTTGCAATTGTTGCTTGTTTAATAACTAATAAGTTGCCATCTGATCGATTTCCTGATATATGAAGTGTGACTGAAAGTTATGCTTGTAAGGGTACAGACAAGAACATCATCTAAAGAGTTAATAACTTTATGAAAAGATCAAATTAACAATTCTCATATTTTAATGTAAATATACTTGCTGTACAAGAAATATTTGTTTACATGTATTTAATATAAAAGCTGCTGAACTGCGCTTTGCGTAGGAATGTGTGTGTTATAAAACAAGACAAACATTTCTTCTAGAACTAATAATGCTTAAAAAACATAAAAACAACTCATTAAAGATAACAAATGTTTTAGTTTTGTATGCATAGAATAAATAAGTAACTAATAGCATTGATAAAACTTTCACTTTTAACGTTTTTCCTGTGTTTCAAAATAATCAAAAGCTAAAGAGTGTTGACTTTTGCTTGGACATACCGATACGTGTATGTTACGAAATTCTGTAAGAATGTAACAGTCGTTTCTTAATTTTTAGAAACGTTATTCTGGAATGTAAATGTGAAGAATCGTATAAGGTATACAATATACATAAAATACCAAATTAATACTGATCAGGTTAACTTCATAAATTCAAGTGAATACGTATGGTCCTACTGTTGACGATTTGTTTGTGTTAAAAGGTTAAAGCTCATATTTATAGAAATGCTTCATGCTTCACATTATCGCAAACATAACTAACATATTGGGAAACATAATTTATTCGGAGAATTTCTTAACACGTTAGCCGATTCTGTTTAACGCATATACTTATGTCCTGTAAATTACTTTAAAAAGCGAATGGAATGGCAGGCAAGTGAAACGTTGTTAAATATAACAATCGTGCAACAAAATTGTTAGCAGGAACATACAAAACCTTACTTTAATAGTTGATTTTTGCCGAATATTCACACTCGTGGCCTGTTCTCATGCTAGCACATTAAATAGTGTTGACATGGCCCATTTCCCTCTTACTGCAGAAGAGCCTACTTTTACCAAGTGACCAGGAAATATATCCACTATTAACACCGACTAAAAATAACTGTTTTAATGTCAAAATGTGTACGAGGCGTTTCTGGAATAAAGTCAGAAGCCAATTTTCCATACAGATAAATTAAATTGACAGGAATTATAGTCGTAAACCATGTCTTACTTGACTAGATGAGACGATTATACATACGTCCGGCTTGGCGATACATTAAAAGTTCAAATTGTATTGGTTGGCTACATCACACACTCAAATTAAAGACAGCGATGTTCTTAGATATTTTATTATACATATCAAGATTTAATGAACCACAAATATAAACAGTGCTCGCATTTAAATGTTTATACTTTTACCGACTTATACCGAGTTTTTAATACATCGGAAAGTTTTCCTGCATTTTAATTATTTCAAAAACGAAATAGGTTGATAAAGGTTCATAAAAATTTTTGTCACAGAAAACAATGTACGATTTTTTCGCCGTTATATCGACGGCAATTTGTAGTCTTTTTAATTCGCGTAGAAGTAATTTGTTTCTAATAATTTCGGCATAGTTAAGTTTAGCTTCAAGAGCTCAATGCGAGCTCCAAAACTTTGGCATGCTTCTATTGCGACTCATTTTAACGCAACTTTTGTAAGAATTGAATATGAAAAGCAAAATCAAATTGATTAAGACGCAAAGCAACAAACACACCCTGATGAAAAGCGCGTACTTGCATGTTACTTTCAATTCGTATTTATAATGCACGTGTTGTAAGCTAAAGAAATTCTTATTAAATTTTCCAATTAGTTGTTGATTAATTTAAACTATTAAAATGTATTGCTATAATTAAACCGGTTCGTATATGATTAAGTTTCTGGCTTTAGTTATGAATTGTTGCAAATTGCAAAAGTTCAACATGACATAGACAGTGAACCCTCAGTTAACTTTTATAAAACGACCAGACCTGAATTAGCCAACTCAGTTAGTCTCAACTCAAAAATAACTTTCCGACTGTTCCTCTTGTTTCGCAGAATATCCAACTAATTTTCTCTCGAGATTATTAACTTACATACCAGAAGGAAACACATAGAGTGAAGTTTATTGTCAAGGTGAAAATCACAAGCAAATATTATTAAAATAAATAGTAAAAAAGAAACTAATACAGTTTGTTTCTGATCAAGAACGAAGAAATTTGGAAAGGAACAAACCGAAAAATATTTTTGTTATTGTAATAGAACTGCCACAATGATGGGAAAAATAAAAGGAGGGCCTAGAACACCCAATAAATAAAATGGGTACAACACCACTAGAATTAGGGCAACATATACGTGAAAAAAAACAAAGTTTATGAGATTCAGCTTGCGAGACTAAGCCTAAATGGTGTTATAATAGAGCGATTAATTTCCAAAGAAACTCTCTAAAATGTGTAACCACACAACAGTCTTATAGTATTACTACTAACTAAGCCCGTGATACCAATACATTTTCAGCAGGTA